TCTGAAGCTTGTAGATCCCACCTTCTGAAGCTTGTAGATTCCACCTTCTGAAGCTTCTCAAGCAACACTAATGTATATCCTATCATCTGAAGCTTGTAGATTCCACCTTCTGAAGCTTGTAGATCCCACCTTCTGAAGCTTGTAGATCCCACCTTCTGAAACTTGTAGATCCCACCTTCTGAAGATTGTAGATTCCACCTTCTGAAGCTTGTAGATCCCACCTTCTGAAGCTTGTAGATTCCACCTTCTGAAGCTTCTCAAGCAACACTAATGTAAATCCTATCATCTGAAGCTTGTAGATTCCACCTTCTGAAGCTTGTAGATCCCACCTTCTGAAGCTTGTAGATTCCACCTTCTGAAGCTTGTAGATTCCACCTTAGATCCCACCTTCTGAAGCTTGTTGATTCCAACTTCTGAAGCTTGTAGATCCCACCTTCTGAAGCTTGTAGATCCCACCAGCTGAAGCTTGTAGGTTCCACCTTCTGAAGCTTGTAGATCCCACCTTCTGAAGCTTGTAGATTCCACCTTAGATCCCACCTTCTGAAGCTTGTAGATTCCACCTTCTGAAGCTTGTAGATTTACCTTCTGAAGCTTATAGATTCCACCTTCTGAAGCTTGTAGATCCCACCTTCTGAAGCTTGTAGATTCCACCTTCTGAAGCTTGTAGATACCACCTTCTGAAGCTTGTAGATCCCACCTTCTGAAGGTTGTAGATCCCACCTTCTGAAACTTGTAAATTCCACCCTCTGAAGTTTGTTAAGCTTGTAGATCCCAACTAGGGTTCACTTTACCGGTATAGAGTTATTTTCACTCAGTGCACCTCACGTTTACTGTAATCGGTTTTCCTGCGGCAGTACTGTCTGAAGTGTAGGTTTAAAGTTTACCGTGTGGTTTTGGGTAAAACACGGCTTCTTCTAGTTGTTGGAAGTGTTAACTTTAGCCGGCTTCATCTCCTCTAGTCCTGGTATTGTCAGTTTCTTGCTGGTGTGGAGTTTGAGGTTGATAATTCTAACGGTATTTATTTTAGAATAGCACGTACGAGGTGGTTTGTGTGAAATTTTCCTACTTTATTTCAGCTATTTGTTGAGTCTTGCATCAGCTGGGTACCTACTCTTGCTTAAATTCACAGTCCGGAATTTTAGGGTAGATAACCACAGACCACTATAATAACGGGGGGAGGTTCAATGAATTCAATTCAGCCTCCATAGTCCATCCTATATATTCCTATATTGTCACTCATGGTTTAGAGTCTGCATTTAGAGTTTTAATTTAGAGACTTTGTGTTAAGTTCGATAATATTAAATCATTTTCCTGGCAAATCATGGTCGGATGAAATTACATAACCGAAATCAAAACTATGCCTTTCATTACATTTACCTACCTAGTTACCGAACTCACGATCCTTCTTAAACTAGGAATTGAATCCGTGATCATCCCGGAATGTTGATTGTGTTTCTCATTTTTACTAGGAATAAGATTCTAATCATAATACACAACAATAATATCATGTTAATACTTTGTTTTGGCGTTTAGGCAGCGTTTTGATTTGCGGCGTTCCGGCAAATTTGGTTTTTGATTTTTATAAACTTTAGATTATTTTACGACAAGCAATTTCAATTTTAACGCACCAATCCATTAGTACTGTTGGAAATAATTTAGTATTAAGAGCAGTGACAATCCCAAAGAATCTGCAAGTTATTAGCTACTGATCAGATCATACTACATAAGAATCCTACATTATACATAATTCATGGTGTAGCCGTGGTAATATACACTATCTCTATAATATATATAATATACATTATACATGTTCCTTATCATCGTTTCTGTTATACAATTTTAATATAGTCACATCACCCAATAACACGTCTCACTCCATAACTATTCAGTGGCCATTCAGTGTATTAAGAATATAAGAACCATATTCAGGCTATGCCTATTCAGTGACTATTCATGACCATTCAGTGACTCAGTGTTTTAAAAATATACGAACCATATCCAGGCTATGACTATTCAGTGACTATTCATGACCATTCAGTGTATTAAAAATATAAGGACCTTATCCAGGCTATGACTATTCAGTGACTATTCATGACCATTCAGTGACTCAGTGTTTTAAAAATATACGAACCATATCCAGGCTATGACTATTCAGTGACTATTCATGACCATTCAGTGTATTAAAAATATAAGAAGCACATTCAGGCTATGACTATTCAGTGACTATGCATGACCATTCAGTGTATTAAAAATATAAGAAGCATATTCACTATTCAGGCTATGACTATTCAGTGACTATTCATGACCATTCAGTGTATTAAAAATATAAGAAGCATATTCAGACTCTCCCATAGTTAACAATACACCATATCCCTGCTCAAGCAATAGACTTGAATTTATTACCCTGGTCCCTGCGTTCAACCTATAATATACTGGTATAATATATGTATATTGTATGTATATTATATATAGTGCTAAACTGATGAGTTTTCTTATATACTGCCGGTCTAATGCAGCGAGGTCACATCTTAGTGCCATACTCTGTGCCACATCTTAGTGCCACACTCTGTGTCACATCTTAGTGCCACATCTTAGTGCCATACTCTGTGCCACATCTTAGTGCCATACTCTGTGTCACATCTTAGTGCCACATCTTAGTGCCATACTCTGTGCCACATCTTAGTGCCATACTCTGGGCCACACTGTGCCAAATCTTAGTACCATACTCTGTGCCACACTGTCACACATCTTAGTGCCACATCTTAGTGCCATACTCTTCAACTTTTCTAAACCTTTAAAGTTACCTTTTATAGTCTCTATCAGTCTATCGTGAAACAGGCTAGTTCATTGTCTTTCCTACTATTGCGCGAAATATTGCAATCGCAGTATATATACAGTTGTACATCTAGATATAGAATAAGAGCAGTTTAGATAATATTATCAACTACCACCAAACATTTGAGGACTGGTGTTGCAATACGATCGACAGTACGTAATTATATCTCCTACTATATACATGGCTGGTAATTGAAGGTTACATATCTTCTGGCGTTCAATGTGTTCAAGTACCAGATGTGTTCCGCGCACTACTCCTGTTTCCCAGTGATAGCTACTTGTCAATCTAGCTGTGTATTAGCTTATAATGATATAGTTCGTTATATATATATATACTATTATATAGTCCACTACTGGATTTGTCAGGGTTTCTTTCCCAGGTTTATAAGTGGATCCTGCACTTACCCTCGTGAAATGTTTGAAGTTAGGTTCTGACACTTGTCAGTTATATATGTTGCTTTGATCTACCCCACACCAGATTATCATATAGCTGATTCCTCCTTCGTAAATTATTTCATTAGGAGTTGTCAAACAAAACATTGGTTATACTGCGTGATTTTGTGGCTTTAACATTTATATCGGGGTCATTACACACTATAACTTCGCGGTGAAGTCTGGTCTGTAGTTCGTGGTAGGATATTATAGCTGCTAATAGTTCTGCTAATGGTTATAGGTTTATAGCAGCTCCAGTTTATTTGTTTCGTGCAGCTTTGAGCAGTTTGGGCTTTTGAAGGTGCTGGTTGTATATTCCTTACACGCGATAATTCAGCTATGTCTTGGTTATAATACCTAATAATATAACCTGATAATACCTGATAATATAACCTGATATAACCTGATAATACCTGATAATACCTGATAATCATTGTCTGACGATGTTATATAACATACAGAATAAGAAACCAGGTGTGGAAAACATGACGTCATAACTTGGCTCGTGTAGGATCTCTAAATAGAGGGTTGTGTTACACTTAATCCTGAAACCTGTGCACTCTACTCGCTAAACACAGCCCCATTCGTTAGAATAATTAGCACGTGTAAGAGACGCGCGCGCACGTGCATATATCCAGGTCGTGGGTATTGGTTACAAGTTAGCACGTGTCAGTATATGACGATTGGGCAATTTGTGGTGCACGACCAGTTTGCATCTTTATAGAGGTTTACAGTGTTAATATGGGGTGGTTTACAGTAAACTGTGGTGCCCGCTTCTATATTTTTTTTTGCTATATGTACTATTTCGGTATTTTGTATTTTCTGAGGTGTCCCAAAGCCTGACATGCCCAGGTTTCAGTGCTTTAGCTTTGAGTATGTTAGTGTAAAAACGTAGTTGATAGTTAAGATAATAAGTAAAACATATTATATATATGGCTCTGCGGTTAATCAACAATCATTCAACACGGAATTATTTATCCAAGTAAAGCAGAAGTTATCATCCAGACAAAATTTAGTGAAATTATGTTGTTTGGTCTGATTATCACCTGTAAAATGTTAACGATCTTCTAATGTTGGTACAAGTAAATATTAACTGGAAGAATCAAGCTACTTGAGCTAAGACTTGATAAGAATCATCTCACAAGTGGTTACAAGAAACTAAGATAATTTTACGTACGTAGATCTTTATTTGTTATTATCAGTTGATCTTTACTCGGTTGAAGTTGGTCGTTACTTGGTTGAAATTAGTCTTCACTTGGTTGAATTTGGTTTTTACTCGGTTGAAGTTAAGCTGTTATCACCCAATTCTACATTTTATTAGCTTGGGTATAATCATTACAACTCGGTAAAACATATACTGGTATTAACTTCATCTATTTTTTGACAAAGTTTGAAATAAAAACTCCGAAACAGTTTTATTAAATTAACAAAGAGATGAAGCAATACATGTATATTTGTATTACTACTAGAACGTTATATAAATTGTAATGACGCGGAACAATGACGATGCCAGACGTTTTAAAATTATGAGAGGAGCTTCAGAAACCGCTATTTTGATCAGACAAAAGGCGATTGACTGTAAGCACATATTAAAACCTTTGGAAATTATCATATCTTTATAATATTAATTGTATACAGACAAGAAAATGGACAAAGTACGAGTAACTAAACAAATTAAAAGCCTACAATTATTTCCGACTAACTGAAGAATAAAACAACCCCAATTATTTCAGATCATTTAGAGAGATTATCGGGCGAAGCAAGATGCGACAGCATGACCTCTCACAACGACTGCAAACGGAAACTCAACAAGATCAGACGTCACGCAAAGGAGCATTTGTCACAGTTTCTTAACGACGATGGTTTTCTGGGTAGGTTACCTCGCTCCTATAATTAGGACGGCTCAGCCGCTCATTACCTATAATTAAGCAAACTCCAATTTACTGTGGTCATTTCCTTCCTTAAATAGAGCTTAACATGGATAATTCTAACAAACAAAACCCCGATGTACCGCAGATTGTTCCTTTCCAAACTTCGACTAAAATATACATATTGTATAATTGTTACTTTACTTTCAGAGAAACGTTTATTTTTCATTTGTTTTAACTGGTTATATTTTCAGAACTGAGCAGACTATCCCCGAAGGACAAGGAACTGTTAATAAGCTGTGTCAGTGAGAGTCAACTAGACTCTTTTATCGAGGCATTTGAAACCTTTGATATGAACGACGACGCTAGTATATCTTCATCTGAGTTGAGAGTGGTCCTTAAGTCTCTAGGTTAGTTTATCAGTTCTTATCTCCGCTCGCGCTATCAACTAGGGGGGGGTACTAATGACTTATTATATGTAAGTCAGTCTCCCGTGGTCCACTGAGTCGAATGATCAGGAAATCCGTGATCTAGGGACCCTGCCAAAAGATCTCGAATCTTGAAAGGATACCCTTCGGTAGACATTGTAGTGCACTATAAATAATATAGCTACACAGTACACCCTACACATGCATGTGCTATTTTATCATATCTTTTCAACATGGGTAATATGTACTTCACACATGGCTTGATTATGACGATGCTAGTTGAGTAGTTGTATTGGCTCTTAACACTCGTAATTTGTATGTTAATTGATGCTTGTAAATAGCATATTAAAGTTTAAACATATTCAGGTATAGAGCCGACGGAAGATGTGTTAACTGAGATCCTCTCTGAAGTTGATGCTGATGGTAAGTGATGACCAATGAAATGCAGCATGTAAATCATCAAACTACGAAAGAGCTGTATTTTTGTTTACTTTCGCTATAATTATATCCACAAAGTTATGATAGGCGACTTACATAAATATGAAAAATAAAATAAGGAACCGATCGAAAAACATTAATTCTTATTTGTTTTAAAAACCTCTCCTTGCCTCATTCACTAATGACAGAAGGTTATACGCCCACGATTGTACACACTAATTCATGATCCCCTGTATAAATAACTCACTCAGGTAACGGCGTAGTGGATGTTCAGGAGTTTCTGATATTCATGGCCTCCAGAACATTGTACAAAGATGAGGATCAGAATATAAGGTGGGTGATGGCACATTATTTCCACCTACATTATTTCCACCTTAATTATTTCCACCTTCATTATTTCCACCTACATTGTTTCCACCTACATTATTTCCACCTACATTATTTCCACCTTCATTATTTCCACCTTAATTATTTCCACCTTCATTATTTCCACCTACATTATTTCCACCTACATTATTTCCACCTACATTATTTCCACCTTCATTATTTCCACCTACATTATTTCCACCTACATTATTTCCACCAGGGATTTGTAGTGCTAGGACTAAACTATTCAGTTCATCCATTCCTTAACAAATTGCACGTGCTAGATGATTTAATGAATGTGTATTTTCAGGGACGCGTTTAAACAGTTTGATAAAGATGGAAACGGTTATATAGATAAAGACGAACTGATATCCCTTATGGAGTCATTAGGTATCCGCATTATATACTTACTAAATTTAACTGCTCCTGATTTGCTTGACATTTTGTGATTTTGTCTTTTCTTATATCCGGTCACCGGTACGTGAGGTAATCGATATCGTTAAAATTCATGCATAATGGTGGAGTTATCATATATATCACTATACACCCACCATCTCAAGTATTATAATAGTAGGCTGAATTTCGATTAGGTTTTAACATTATGTAATTCAGGGCAGAAACTATCAGAACAAGAGATAGATGAAATGATGCAAGATGCAGACTTTGATAAGGATGGCAAAATAAGCTATCAAGGTACTTTTTATAATACTTTCATTCAACAACTTCCTTTTCTATTTATCTTATCATTACATTTCCTGCTCAGATATTTCTTCATCTCAGATATTTCATCATCTTCAATCGATTGAAAATATGGCATTTAGTTGTCTATGAGTTATGAGCCGAAACATTTCTGAATATCATTTATATGTTTTAAATATCCCCCTCCAGGATGATCTGAAAGGAACATGCTATAAATTGAACTAAATCCCCTCAAAAAGTGAAAATAAATGTGTTCATAACCTTCAATATCCCCAGAATTCTACATAATGATGAAGTTGGCATACTGAGTGAAGAACCCATTTGCACGATACTCAGATATCAGAACATAACATGAGATCACCGAACCAGTCATCACGTGACAAGAAATGAAACAAAGGACAATTTGTAATATTGCTATCATATACTGTGGTATAAACGCGGCGAAGTGTTGCCATGGTTACAATGTTGTTGAAGTTGTATTCGAGACTGGACAGATAGATTACTTATGGACGAATAAATTTCATTGCATGGACGAAGAAATGTTGTTTTCGCACAGAGAAATAAGCATCTTAAACCTCAATCTTGGGAATCCAATTCTCGATACTTTATAATGATAATAGTCCTGCTTCAGTTATCAATACTTTGTCATAATAACGACTAATAATCGTGCACATTTAAATGTTACGTAAGGTTCTATTATCATGTACACTACATGGAACGTTACAATTTCAAAACAGCAAGATTCAACATTAGGGTTAGATAGCAGATCGAAATGATTCTACACAAAAATTGTTTTCAAAAGGTCCTGCATTCCGATCAATTTTACGTTTAGCGAATAAGAGAGAATTTCTATTGGTTTTTATCGTTCAATTTGTTAATTTTAATTGACCAATAATTGTACTGTTTAACTTTAGCATCAGTTGTTTTAGCAAATGTGTTACTGAACTTCGCTACAGAATTGGTGATATCTGTTGTAAAGTTTGTTAACGTATTGTAATAATTATTTCAATCTTCACCAAGAGTTATCAATTTGTTACATAAAATAGTCAGCAATCTATCTTTATTTTTTCACATCTTTATGTTATATTTTTATATAGATGTACTTCAATTTCATCACGCAGGACTGATTACCTTTTTCAGATTTTATTCAACTATCTAAAGGTTACCTGTAACTGGGGACCCCATGCTATTATTGATTATGTTCATAATAGCGATTCGGCGGAATGACAGGCTGAGCGCCGCCCAGTAATCTAAAGGCCGCTAAATCACTAAGTGTTTGTAAAAGTCACTCAGTGTCACGTACTAATAACTGTTAAAAGAGTACACCACGCGCAAGGGCTCTGGATAGACTTAGAGCAATACCAACCGCGCTATAAGAACGCGAAAATACATCACTACTACATACTAGTAGTGCATCGCGCTACAAAAGCGCGCATGTACACAACGGTCAAAATCTAATGTGTAATCGCGCCCAAGCAACTTTTGCCCCATAATTTTTTTGCTCAGATGTGAGATGGCTTGTTTGCTCAGCTCGTCGCATTTTTTGCCTTTAGCTTTGCACTGTGCCGAACAACATGCTCAATGTTACTGGTGCACTGCTTTGTCATTCGGATTGGAAACAACGATTCAATTCATTCATCATTATTCCTAATTCATGTTTGTGAATTAACGGGTGATACTCGTAAAATATTTGTTCCATATATTAGGTCCAACTCGGCGCGCGTCCTGGTAGGTTGTAAACCTACAAGTTTGTGAACAACCTTGTATCACGTGGTGACCCCCACTGTCGCTTCACTATAGTATAGTTTTAACGATACAGGGGGAGCCGCGCACCCGTGCGCGGCGTGTCATACAACGTATGACAAACAATTTTGGAGGACTTCGCCGCTTTGACGCGCCGCACAAACTAGTATTCTTGCTTCGCAGAGCAACGATCTGGAAGGGTTGACATCGTTTAACATACGTTGCATGCCACTTTTCGCGTCATCGTCAATCAAAGTATTGCTCTAACGTACCAGAGCCCTCTGACCCTCTCGCTTGTTGTGAAACAAGCGCGTCACGCAGTACGCGTATACACATGGCTATGTGAAATCTTACTGGGCCGCGCTCAGCCTGTCATTCCGCCTAATTTCTATGAACATGATAGCCTGAGGTCCCCAGGTAATGTGAAATCAAAGTACAATTACAAAATACGAAGTACAAGTACAATTACAAATAGTATATACTTTTTGTTTTTAAAATGCTAATTTGCACGTGTAAATATAATTTAGCTTGCCATTGACAGATGTTATTCGTTTTAATTTTTTCGAAGTAGCGCGCGCCGAGCCAAACCATTATTAACGGCTGAGACTCGTAAAATATTTGTTTCAAATATTAGGACCGTCGACGAGTCCAACTCGGTGCGCGTCCTGGTAGGTTATAAACCTACAAGACCATTACCTGGGGACCTCAGCTAGGCTATTATGTTCATAAACATAGAGATTAGGCGGAATAGAGATTAGGCGGAATGACAGGCTGAGCGCGGCCCAGTAACAAGACCATTAACAATGGTCAAAGCTTGCCAGTATAATTTACCTGGCACGCCAGTCCCAATGCGCGGCGCTTTTTGGAGCTTCTCAGTTCTCGCATATATACGTGAGATCAGATCGAGCGAGCAATAGACTAGCAAGTTGTAGCGCGATGCCTTACTGGGCCGCGCCGCGCACTCAATTATGCTTCTCGCAACCACTTTGTTAAATCGGCGAAATACGCTACTGGGCCTTGCCGAGCTGCAAAGAATTGACCACGTCAATTAAACTAGCAAGCTATGTCGGTAAAAATTTATTTAATGCACGTACGCTCGCTTTTCTCACGTAAAATGCAAGAAGCTTGAAAACAGCGCCGCGCATCAGCAATTAGGATTGGTGCACCTGCAGATAGGAACAAATAATTTAGTGTTTTTTTGTAGACTTATAACCTATCAGGACGCGCGCCGAGTTGGACTCGTCGACGGTCCAAAACAAATATTTTACGAGTATCACCCGTCAAGTTTTTTTGTATCACGTCGTGACCCCCACGGCTGTTTCACTATGTAGAGTTACTACGATACAGGGGAGCCGCGCACTCGTGCGCGGCGGGTCATACAACGTATGACAAGTTTTTTTGACATACGTTGCATGCCACTTTTCGCGCGCGAAGCGCGCGCCGCCGAATATCTCTGATATTTGTGATACGTAACATGTATCAAAGTTTTTTAATGTTTAAAGATATTTATTAAACTTTTTTGTTAAATTGGTGATGAATAATCAAATTTCCTTTTTTATTGTGTTTTCCTTTTTATTGTGTTTTCCATTTACACAAACAGCAGTTTTCTTTCTTGTATCTACATGATTAGGGGTCGTCCAAATACCAGCAATCACTGAGGGAAGATTCCAAATGATTACGCTAGTGCAATTTTAACACTGTAGATATGTGCAAAAGTGATTACGGAGGGGTAAACATTTGCCTAAGAAAAAGTACGTATTATATTATGTGAACGACCCCTTACCAGAAATTTTAACAATCACATTGCATATTCATATATATATTGATAGTCAGCCACAACTGTCAGTAAAACAACGCCTTGACTTCAAATGTCGGTAAAATGTACCTTTACAGTCATCCTCAAATTATTTGTTATATAGTAATGTTGAAAGTATATATATATACATATATATAATATAGCGTAAATTTATAGATAAACATTGAGACACAGTACTATGTCATGATCTATCCTGAATCTTGATCTATCCTGAATCTTTAACTATCCTGAATCTTTAACTATTTTATCATCTAAAGGTGTGTTTTGCAACCCCAAGTTCGCTGTTCAATAAACCGAAAAATCTTTCAATATAAGAATTAAATCAATAATTTCATTTTACTTTTAAACAACGGCCAACAAGTGGGAATGTGCTACAACTTAAAATAAAGCCCTTTTCGTCCACGGTACTGACAAAATAATTTTTTGATGATCGATTGGCCATGTCAGGCACTGCCATCAAAATTGATAACATTTCTGCTAGTGAAGAGAAGGGTAGCACTGTGAAATTAGGTGATAGATTTTTTCTTAATTCACTTTTTTCGTGAATCTGTCTGTAGGCTAATTTTTTGAGACCTTTGCCAGAGCAAAATACCTATAAGTAATTTGACGATAGAGATCATTTTCAAGAACGAATCAAACAATTCTATTTGAATTGCAAAATAAGTGTGGTTCAAGAGAGATGTAGATTGGCAGCCCTAGGAAATTTTTTAGGAACCATGTACTTTTAAAAAGTTTTTTCTTCATTTCAACGCACACTCTTTGCCCGCACACTAAAATGTTTTAACCTTGCTTTGAGTTCTTAACTTCCCGCCAGGTCCTATTTTGGGTGTTATTTGCAGGGGTAAATCAGAAGTTATTTTCAATGATCGCTTTAATTAAGTATTGGCAATCATAATCAGTTGGTTACGGATATTTTATATAATGAGTCATTGGGTAAAACAAAAGTTCATAAAAACAAATTTTGCCAAAAAATGTATTATTTTAGGACTGGCAATTATATATTAATAGGACTGTTCATTTACAGAATTGTTTACAAACGGTTTTGTCATTTCGTGAGCATATCTACACATAGTTTTCTATTAATTACTTTTCAAATAGTATTTATCTTTCTAAACTCAACTTTTTGAATAATAATGTGGGTCGGCTCCCAACGATAACTGTTGACTGTCGCTATATTATATTTAACAGAATTAGAACTTTATTACAGCTATTATGGACAATCGGACGTATTTCGAAAGAAAAGATGAAAATGTTGTCGTGGAAGAGGTATTTGTTTTTAAGTTGTTGTTTTCTTGAAATTGTTGTTTTCTTAAGTTCTGTGGAGGGGATCACCGCAATTTTATATTTTGGCATTGTATATTTTTTACGTTGATATTATTTATTAACACGGAATCATGCCATCTTTAATACTTTCAACACTACTATATAACAAATAATTTGAGGACCCCTAGTGGGAATTAACACCTCAATCAAATGTAGCAACCATTACAGGTTGTATGTCGATGTAAATGGTTGTTGCATGATAGTTTATTTAAAGACATCCTAAAGACTATCAGACATCGTTTTTAAGAGCTGTTAACTCCCATCTATCACCTATCACCCATCTATCACCTAAAGAATATCAGACACCACTCATTCCCATCTTCTGAATTGCTGCAAAGGTACTGTAATCAACAACTAAATAACTATAAACAGTAGCATCGGTTTTAGACTCTATCCTGAATTCTTTGCATTATTGTGTTTATTGAACTATGTCCGGTATCCCAATCAGAAATTACAGCCTTCGTGACAGACCTAACAGTGCAAAAGCAAAATGTTCTACCTGTGTATCACTAAGTCTTGAAAACGACAATTTGAGGAGACAAATTGCTCGTCTAACCAAACTTGCCCAAGGCTCAGGCCATGACAAAATTGCGGTTCCATTCTCTTGCGGGGACAATGTTCTTATCTCTGAACATGAATCAGAAACTCAAAACTGTGAAGTTAGCAGTGTGACTGAACTTAATAGCAACCCATCTCTTGTGAATTCTTCTGATGTTAACAAACAATCTTCAACCAGTGTTAACGTTGTGGATAAGTCCATCAATCCATATCATGATTTGAGTCGAGGTGTATTCAGGTTTGTTGATACTCTCAAGTTGGATATGGAAACACAATACACACAAACGTTTAACAATAGGGCTGTAGCATACTATGGGGACAAACCCTTATTAAAGTCTATTTTAGAACGTTTACGCTCACAGTTCCCAAGTCTGATATTTAACAGCGCCATGATCACTAAGTATGAAAATGGCAAGCAAGGAATACCATTCCATTCAGATGATGAGAGGTCCATATCACCAGGCTCCATGATTACCACCATATCGTTAGGAGCAACAAGAGTCCTCAGTTTTAGGTCTAAAAGCAAAGTCCACGTTGCCAATCTTACTCTCTCCCATGGCGACATAATGATTATGACCAGAAAATCTCAGGACAGCTTTGAACACAGCCTTATTCAGGACCAAACTGATGACATGAGAATTAGCATTACTCTGCGCCAGATTGATGGCAGTGCAACCTTGTCTGCTCCACCCGATACCTCAAATAAGCCTTTCGTTACCGCAAGAGAAACTGAACCCTCAATCAAAGGGAAATCATCACCCAACAAAATCACTCATAAGAGCACCGTACCCCCTGCTTCAGTCAAAAGCAAATCCCTTGCTGTGTATGTTAGCTCAAGCATGTTCTCCAAGTTAGATGCTACAAAACTATCCTCTGCTCATCAAGAAGCACATGTATTTCACTATCCTGGTGGCATTGCAAACGGTATCAATGAACGCTTCCACTCAGATGAAAGAAAGAGGTCAATTGATGCAAATAATGTGAAGACCATCGTACTCATGTGTGGAACTAATGATGTGGACTTAATCCTAGAGAATCCTCGACACATGAGGAATAGATTATTGTCACCCGATGACTTCACAGGAAAAGCAAAGGCCCTTGATAACACCAATCGCTCTATTGATAATCTGATCCAGTCACTTCACTCGTGGGCTCCAGCTGCAAAAATTAAGATCATAAACATTTTACCAAGAGAAAGTTTTGCTAGAAATAAAGTGATAAATGACTTTAATATCTTTTTATCTAAGATTCCTTCCAAATACTCGTTTGTTAGCTTTATACCCACAGAGATGAATCGATTTTTGTTTAGTGATAGATCTGGATTTAGGAAATCATCTTGTTTTAGTAGATTTGGGGAAGACAATGTGCATCTAAACAGCGATGGTATCTTTAAACTAGCAAAGCACATCAAGTACCATGCTCACCATTGAAATCGACATGACATTTCCACCTGAATATTTATTTTGATTTCAAGTTTAAAACTTTTCTATTGAAAATATTTACAGGCGGATAATTTTCACCTGATTTTAGTTTAATCAGACACAACGACTAACACGTTTTGTGAAATGACAAATATTCACAACTCAGCTGACAAATTTCATAACCTTTGCATTGGTCATGGTCACTGTAACATTCAAGGTGGTCTCCTAAATTTAGCTAAAAGTAATGAACTTACTCAACTCATTCGAGATCATAAGCTAGACATACTTTCCCTAAATGAGATGAATCTTAATGATACTATTGACACAGACACCATAAATATTCCTTCCTCCTTCAACATTATGCGATGCGACAGGCCAAACAGTTCTAGGGGTGGTTGTGGCTTAATGATAAACAAAAAACTAGCTTACACAGAATTAGTTATGGATAGTAAGCTTGATAACATTGAAGCATTATGGGTGAAGCTTAAGAATAGCAAGATCAATGTTTGCTGCTTCTATCGCTCTGGAAATTATTGCAGTGTTGATAACTTTATTGAGTACATTAATTTTTGCATGAAAAAATTGAACGGGAAAAAGGTTATCTGGATTGGGGATATAAACATTGACCAGAATAATATCTCATCCACCCAGTACAAAAAATTAGATATGACCTTGAGATGTTACAATCTAGTTCAAACCATTCAAGGGATAACTAGAGTTGCTAAACGTGGAGACAATTTTACCCAGACTACTATTGATGTAATATTCACTAACTGTTTAAATGCAGATTTTGTTCAATCTTCTGTTCTTGATGACCGTATTGGGGATCATCAAGCTATTATGTGTGAGATAGATTGTAAAGTATCTATAGCTCCTAAATTTGAAAAGGTTGAAATTAGAAATCATTGTAAACGTAATGTTAAACAATTCTTAGACTATCTAGATACCTGTTCTGATTACAGTCCACTATTGGAAAGTACAGATGTTGAAGCTATCACTGCTGGCCTTTGTCATCATATTGAACAGGCATATGCAACCTTCTTCCCTTGCAAGACCATAGAAAGGCATGAAAAGTTCATACATAAACCTTCTACTGAACTTTTAAATGCCATTAATCATACACATTTTCTTCTAAAGAAATTCCGTAAAAAGAAGGATAAGAGAGACAATGGAAGTTGCAATAAATGTGGGATATGTAGCAAATGTATAAAGTGTAATGAGGCCTGGGATTGCTACAAGATTCAGAGAAATATTAGAAATAAATTAGCTAAAACCTGCAAAACGGCTAATGTAATCGATGATGAACTACAAGTTAAAAGTGCTAAGAATGATCTTAAAGGGGTATGGAAAACTATCAAACTGGCATCAAATATGACCCCTGGTACAACTAATTGTCAAACTATCAATGAGAATGATCCTGAGCTATTTATATTTGGAATAATGTTCCAACAGATCTACGAAATCTGCCCGATGTTAAAAGCTTAAGTGATTCGTATAAGAAACAGCTACTCTCATCTATAACAACAGACCCTAATTATACCGTCGACAATTCATATGACAAATTTTACACTGCAATCATAGTCGACGATAACTAAGTATCTTCTAATTCTTTTAAATCTGAGGCATATATAATTGATGTATCGAAAGGATTTTCCCTTTTTTACCACCTTACCATTTTGATTGATTTTGCACATGACTGACATGTTTTAACTGGAGGAAGGGTTCGCACAGTGGTAGTTTTATAAACCACTTTTAATTTATTGACCTATTATACCTAGTGGTAGTTTTATAGACCACATTTAATTTATTTACTTATTATACTTAGTATTTATTTTTGGTGACTGTATCACCCAGTTTTAACATTTGATAATTGTACAGTTTATTGACGACACATTGACTGAATGTTATTTTATATTCTAATTTATATTCTAGATATTTTATTTATTTTTCAACAGACGACAACTTCCTGTTTTTTCTTCTATATTAGTTACTCATATCTCTTTTACAGACTTTTTTACAAGGACATTGACAGATGATACTCACATTAGGCATTCATTATTGCATCTAAATTATTTCACTTGCATTAGGTTTAGAAATTTATTCTCTGGTTAACAGATTTCAGATGTTCAATTAATTTGTAGTATGACAGTAAGGTATATAAGAAGTTATTTAATTTTGCTTGGGCTATTATATTGACTATTGAGGTTTAATGATGATATGGAATTTGAATTCTATATAAATTTACACTATGTGGTTGGGGCATTTTGCATAGTAAATATGGTTACTACTCCTATATATCATATTATTTGATTGGTATTCGATTTCTGATTATTTCTCTAGGAATATGATTATTATATCTCAATTTGGCTTTAGGTAGGGTGCCCCGCTAAAAGAACTGGATTCTTCCAGGAAGCATCCCGTGCACAGACCTTGGTCTACATATATATTAAATTATTAACCATTCATTCTGTATGTGCACGAAAATTTATTTCAATCAAATTTAACTTTCATTTTGCAAATGTTGGATCAAGATTACAAAATCAGGCCCCCAATATTGAAAGAGTTAGTTTTACTGATTTTTTACCTCCTAGAACTTCTAACATCTCATTTGATAGATTCCAAGAAATAAATGAAACTGATATCCTAATGTATGTCGAAACGCTCAAGAATGACAAGGCCTCATATGACGATGTGCCTCTATTTTTACTTAAGCAAGCTGTACCACACATAGTTGAGCCACTGACCCATATTGTCAATTTGAGCCTTAATACAGGTGTTGTACCAACACTTTGTAAAAAAGCTAGAGTAACTCCCATCCATAAGGCAGGAATGAAAGATGATCCTAATAATTACAGGCCAATATCCATCCTTCCACTTGTAGGAAAACTTATAGAATACTTTGTCGGCAAGCAACTCACTGATTACATGGAAGAGAACAAACTTTTCATCCGGCATCAATATGGCTTTCGGAAAAATCACTCCACAACTTATTTGATGTACGATCTGATGGACGAAATATATATGAGTAAATCTAAGTCTTATAAACCAGGAATCATCTTTCTTGATCTTAAGAAGGCCTTTGACACAGTGAATCATGAAATATTGCTTCAAAAATTGGCATATTATGGAATTGGTGGCATTGCTTTAACCTGGTTTAAGAACTTCTTATCTTGTAGATATCAATGCACTAGGATCAATGGCAAATTAAGTTCATTTTTAGAAGTTCTGAGTGGTGTACCACAAGGAAGCATCATTGGGCCTATATTATTTAGTATCTTCATAAATGACATCATTTATGCCTGTAACCTATCTAAGCCCTTTCTATTTGCAGATGATGGTGCACTATTCTTTGATCAAACCTGCAGAAGCACATTTATAAACATGAAAATAGAACTTATGACAATCTTTAAATGGCTCAGTGTAAATAAATTATCACTCAATGAAAAGAAGACTGAATTCCTATTGTTTGATTCTGTTGATCAACATGATGAATTAACCATTGAATGTAATGAGGTAACTTTCACAATCAAGGAGTGCAAAGAGACAAAATATCTTGGCCTCATTCTAGATAGTAAATTAAACTTCAAAAGCCATGTAGATTATATTATTAAGAAGGTCATGAAGAGAATTGGTGCCATGTATAGAAGTAAAGCACTGCTACCCATTAAATATAGGAAAATGTTTGCCAATGCACTCATGTTGCCACAATTCGATTATTTAGACACGATCTATTGTAGAGCTGGCAAGACAAAACTTGCTGAACTTGACACTCTGTACAAAAAGGTAGCCAAAATAGCTCTCAACGTTCCACAAACAGAGAGCAGCCTTAATGTTTATAGAGGCATGAAATGGTTACCACTCCATCTTAGACGGCAACTCCATCTGTCAAATTATATGTATGTATTAATGTTTAGAATCATCCATGACAATTGTCCTACAAACTTTATGAACAAATTTAGTTACATATCAGGAGGTAGTAGGAGCGGCGAAAGCTGCAACCTATATGTTAATAGATCAACATCACATAAAAACTTTCAATACTTGGGGGCAAAATGTTGAAATAATGTTCCAACAGATCTACGAAATCTGCCCGATGTTAAAAGCTTAAGTGATTCGTATAAGAAACAGCTACTCTCATCTATAACAACAGACCCTAATTATACCGTCGACAATTCATATGACAAATTTTACACTGCAATCATAGTCGACGATAACTAAGTATCTTCTAATTCTTTTAAATCTGAGGCATATATAATTGATATATCGAAAGGATTTTCCCTTTTTTACCACCTTACCATTTTGATTGATTTTACACATGACTGACATGTTTTAACTGGAGAAGGGATTCGCACAGTGGTAGTTTTATAAACCACTTTTAATTTATTGACCTATTATACCTAGTGGTAGTTTTATAGACCACATTTAATTTCTTTACTTATTATACTTAGTATTTATTTTTGGTGACTGTATCACCCAGTTTTAACATTTGATAATTGTACAGTTTATTGACGACACATTGACCGAATGTTATTTTATATTCTAATTTATATTCTAGATATTTTATTTATTTTTCAACAGACGACAACTTCCTGTTTTTTCTTCTATATTAGTTACTCATATCTCTTTTACAGACTTTTTTACAAGGACATTGACAGATGATACTCACATTAGGCATTCATTATTGCATCTAAATTATCTCACTTGCATTAGGTTTAGAAATTTATTCTCTGGTTAACAGATTTCAAATGTTTAATTAATTTGTAGTATGACAGTAAGGTATATAAGAAGTTATTTAATTTTGCTTGGGCTATTATATTGACTATTGAGGTTTAATGATGATATGGAATTTGAATTCTATATAAATTTACACTATGTGGTTGGGGCATTTTGCATAGTAAATATGGTTACTACTCCTATATATCATATTATTTGATTGGTATTCGATTTCTGATTATTTCCCTAGGAATATGATTATTATATCTCAATTTGGCTTTAGGTAGGGTGCCCCGCTAAAAGAACTGGATTCTTCCAGGAAGCATCCCGTGCACAGACCTTGGTCTACATATATAATATTAAATTATTAACCATTCATTCTGTATGTGCACGAAAATTTATTTCAATCAATTATCCTCATGAAAAGCAGGTTTTACTATTCTATTTAAGGAAGATATACAGTATACACCTAATCTACTTCTAGCAGAAACTATTATGTTTGCGAACTACAGAGGAGATTTTGATATTTCTAAATATTTAATGTTTAATCATTTTCATTCCATTCCACAAACCTTACTTTCATCCAAACATAATTAACTAACTAATTACCTATCTAACTAATTAACGATATTCCCCTCAGTTATCATCCCTGACGACGATACCAGAGGACCAGATGGTGACTGTACAGGAAGAAGTGATAACCACAGTTGACACAGACACAGTCCAGAAACCTCTACCCATATCAGAGGAGGTTATGGATGAGGGTATGTTCTGTGGAACTTTAATAATCACGTGACTATTCTAGTGATAACTGAGGTCTGAGAGATCGGTCAGGCAGCAAATTACATTCTCAGGAGCTTGGGGGGCAATATTTGGGGACCCTAAAATTCTTATTCCTTGGTCAATTTTGTTTAGCAATGATCCAGCGGTCTTGCAGATTTTAAAGTGGTTATAAAGTTATAAATTGGTATTAAAATGGTATTAAAATGGTATTTAGGTGGTATTAAAATGGTATTTAGGTGGTATTTTAGTGGTATTTGGAGACCCTCTCCCTCTTAGTTTATTCTACCATCCCAGGTCAAGCCCCTAAAAGAGATCCAGATCAGATTGCTGCAATAGAGAAACGCAGGAAACTCACTCTTAAACCTAAACCTGTTAAAACGGAGGTATGTTTATGTGGAATTTGGAGTATTTACGTCTTCAGTTTACAAATCAGTGAAACACAAACATACTATGCGGGGGGCCGGGACTACAGACCCCCTCAAAGTCCTTTACAACGTTACTGCCAGGTTACATAGCACTGAAAATCAATATCATCAGAAATTCAAATTCAAAGCAATGCCGTCATAGTATTACAAAGCCCCAAATGTGATATTTCAGTCTGGTGATTTTTGTCATTTTAAGTTGTCATTTCGACCGTGATTTGTTAATGTAATTTTTCATTTCTACCGAGATTCGCAATTTTGAGTTGTCAATGACACATTACCAATTAATTACTAATATTACTTAATTCAGACTGGGAAGATTAAAAAGAAGAAGAGTAAGGGAGCGAAGAAAGAAAAGGGACGAAGAAAAGTGTCAGCTTATTTACTGTATTCACGACACATGCGACCAAGTGTGGCTAAGGAAAATGCAGGTACATTTAAACATGTTAATGTTATGTGTAAATATTATAAGTATGCAGCTCAATAGCCAGAGTATTTCCAACTAAAAGTTATTTTGTCTCACGTCCAATCATTAATATTATGATGTTTCCTGATAAAAAACAAGTAATCAGATCCTATAATTTCAGATCTAAAAATGATTGAAGTAACGTCAAAGTTAGCTAAAATGTGGAATGAACTTGATGATAATGACAAGGAGTACTGGAAGTCAAAGGAGGCGGAGGAAAATTCAAAGGTTTGTGTTTAACCAGTAATGTACCACTGTAACAGTGTACCACCCCCGGTTTTTATATTAAAAACTTGTGATTCTGATTCTCGATAATATTTTTGCTAGTTTAAAAAAATTAGAGGTTCAGTAAAAAATTGATAAATACTGTGAGAATCACCCAGGAAACGGAATTAATTTGTTTCAGGTAGTGGTAGAGAAGAAGAAGAGTAAGAAGAAGAAGAAGGTTTTAGCACCGCTGGCACCAGACGGACCACCTGAAGCGCTAGACTTGGCTGCTCATTTGAAACTTCTTGGAGACTCTATTACCAAGATGGGCGAGATTACTGGCGAGGTGAGGAAATAAATTAAAACTTGACATTATTATTGATTATTACAATTATTTCAATTTTAAGTACAGATTGTTCAGACGATAATTTCCTAGAATACCTTGAAAATGAGCTCGTGATATTTTCCAATCAAGCAATCTGACACACTTAAATAACTAACTAACTAACTAACTAACTAACTAACTAACTAACTAACTAACTAACTAACTAACTAACTAACTAATAATTAACTAACTAACTAACTAACTAACTAACTAACTAACTAACTAACCCACTCCTTAGCTAGCAGAAAGGGGAGACTCTGACTACAGTGAGTTGACAGTCTCTGCACTGCTCACCAACCTACTAAACTGCCTACTCTGTGCATCGGCTCCCCTCCTCTACCTCACCTCCCACGTGGAGCAACTTAACGTTATATCAGAGGAGAAGCAGATTAGGATGTTGGATAACATTGCGTACATCATGCCTGGTCTGGAGAACTTCAAGGCTTAGGAACGAAAGGGAAATTAAAGCCTGATAGCCTAGAGATGGCATGTTGCTTCTTTTTTGAAATTTAAGTTTGACGCCTAGATGACATGTTACAAATTTTAAGCACGATAGCCTATAGAGAACACACTATAGAGATGTTTTGGTGTTTAGGTGTTATTTGAATTTTGATCTGCTAGAACATTGTAGAACATTCCTTGAGAACGAATTGAAAGCACATTGAAGTACAAGAACAAAAGTTTACATGAATCTGCTTTCACAACAAGGTCATTTGTTGAACATGTTAGAAATCTGTCTTGCGTTACTGACTGTGATGGTGGTCAAGTAATTATGCAACAATTTTAGCTACTTAATAAAATTAAAGATTAAGTTTTAAAATTATTTGATATTGCAGTATTATGGCGAGTTTTCTGTTAACTTTCCAAAAGTCTAAACCAGTGAGCCGAAGAGATCCCACCGGCGCGGTACTCCACATACGTCAATGTTTTTTTTAATTTACAATCAAGCGTTGAGTTTGGGGAAAGGAAACAGCCCAGTAAATTGTAGTTTGCGGTAAATTGGGGATTGCGGTAAATCGAGGTTTTATTGTAATATTGTACCACCAAATGTATCTTTTACTATTTCAATGGTGGAACGTTTTAAATGTTGTAACTATGTAATACCAACAGTTTTAATCGTTATCATTTTCAACCATATTTAGAGTAAGTCTCCTTCATTTGTCCGATCATGGTCAGTTCATGTTACAGTTATAATTGTAGACATTAAATTTTTTTATTAATTCAATTAATTATCATATAAATTACAAATAAATCAACCTTACATTTCAGCCATACATTTTTCCATTATTACTATTAATAGTGTTATACATATAATAAACAACAAATAAATAAATAAACAAGCTAATTATGTCTTATCAGGTGAGTAAAAGGTGCCAATTCTTCTAATAATTCTGGAATATAGTAGTAGTCATAGTCAAGCGTTGCTTGACGAACGCCGGGATTTCCCGGCCCGGGAAATAAGAAAACTAAGCACATCACACGTGCTCGAGATATTGCTAGGTAGAGTTTAGCAAGACACACCGGAGTGTTGTAAAAACGACATAACACTACAACTACAGGCCACTCAGCTGAGTAGCTGTGTGAAGCACGACACACTGTTATATTATATGTGTTGTGTGCGTCTTTAACACGATTAACAATATCAATCACATCATCATTTAAATCATTATCAATATAGACTACCGCTACCTCTAAGTTTTCTACGATATTTCTACAGTCACATAATTTGATCAATTCTTTGTTAACAATATTAAATATCAATTCATCATTACGTATATTAAAAACATGAAACTTTGTTAATGGGCCCCGAATAAAATGCCCTGAATCTTGCATTAAAATTTCTTGATTAAAATTTAGTAGGTAATAATCTCTAATTATACATAAAATATTGGACAAATCGCACGTGTTCCGCAAATTCTGCGTCAACGTAACAAGTTGATCTGAATTCAATTTTTTACCAATTAGACCAATAATCCTACTATAAAAATTCTCAATGTCATTTGTAAAGCAAGTTTCCCAATAACTCTGCATAAAATCACACGCTACAATTACAGTGTTGTTAACTGATAACATTATTAGTGTGTTTACTAATGTCTGTAATAAGGACGTTGGTATCGAATAGTTAATACTATTAAATACACACTGCACATCATCAAGTAGCACATGGCAGCAACTTAGTTGTTTGAGTCTATCTGTTATCCATTTTATGGACCATTGTCCCGGATGTTTTAATGTTATCTCTACAATCACAGCACTACAGGTACTCTTTAGTATCAATCCAGATACATCAAACCATATTTCATCATTGCTCACAGATAACAACTCATAATCCACACCAGCTTTCTTACAAATATCTTGATACGTTGTAGAGTTGTTGTTACCTCCACACAATTCACAACACCCGATCAAGTGGCCATTAAAATCCAACTCAGCTCGACAGAACTCATTCTGGCAGCTTCGTACATGGATATAAATGGGCCGGTACCGCCACAAGAAACATCACCTCTAGCAAAATACGCAAATGATAACAACATCCCGCTCATTATAGGGTCGGACACCAATTCCCACCACACCCTTTGGGGGAACAAGGCATGCAATAAAAGGGGAGAGGAGCTTCTTGACTTTCTCTCCTCCCTAGGGCTGTCATGTGCCAACAAAGGATCATCCCCAACCTTCCTCAACTCTCGAGGCCACAACTCAATTATCGATCTCACAATAACAAACCAGTTGGGAGGAGATCTCATTAGTAACTGGCATGTTAGTGACCTTTACTCCAACTCTGACCATCGCTATATTATGTTCGATATAACTACAGGGCCAAAGAAGGAACCCAAACAGATCCGACTAATCAAAAACACTGACTGGGACAGATTTGATGAGATCCTATCGAATAACCCCAACCTTAACAACACACAAATCAACACTACGACTGAAATTGATCACAAAATAGACATAATCAATACTGCACTAAAGGAAGCCTTCGAGGAGGCATGCCCCATTACTTACATCTCAAGTTCCGTCCGCAAACCCCCCTGGCTAACTCAAGAAGTAGAGGAAGCACAGAGGGGAATAAGACAAAAACTGATTACTGCCCGCAAAAAGAAGACTGATGCCCTGTGGCTCGCTCTCAGAGAGAGCAACAAACAATACAACAGACTTATAACCAACTCCCAGCGTAATGCCTGGAGAACTTTTTGTCAGGAAACAGAGTCTGTTAAGGAATCCGGAAGGATGAATAAGATTCTGAAATCCTGTAACGACAACAAACATACACTAGAAGCCGTTTACAAACCAAACGGAGACATCACCAAAAATGCAGAGGAGACATTGGAGGTCATGACACGAACCCACTTCAAGGATAGTGTCACTGATCCGCCAGTGCCTCCACCTGGTCCTCTACCAATCACCACCACCTTACTCAATACCATCTACAGCCCAGACAGAATCGAGGAGGCTCTTAAATCCTTCGATCCATTGAAAGCTGCTGGACCCGACACCCTCAAACCTATCATCATACAGAAAGCTTGGACACACATCAAAGACATCACCAGAACCATTATGACAAAAAATCATGAAACCCAACACATTCCAACTTTGTGGAAAGAATCCCTTGGAATCTTTCTCCCAAAGCCTGGAAAAACTGACTACAACCAACCAAAGTCATTTCGCACTATCACCCTTTCGCCAGTGATGTTAAAACTACAGGAGAAGGTGATACTGTGGCATATGCAACACGACCTTAATATCGCTAAAGACATCAACAAACGACAATTTGGCTTTAAGAAAGGATGTTCAACCGAAGCAGCCCTTCATAAAGTTACTCACACCATCGAGCGCAGGATAGCTAAGAAGGGATATGTCCTAGGCGTCTTTCTAGATATAGAGGGAGCTTTTGATAATGTCTCTTTCAAGGCTATTTCTGACGCTATCAAGACCACGAAAGTGGATCTGGCCACAGCACAATGGATTATCAACATGGTAACTAACAGATTCATCACATTAAATCATAAGGATAAGTCGACAAGGGTTCGGATCCGGAGAGGGTGCCCTCAAGGTGGCATCCTTTCCCCTTTCCTCTGGAACCTGGTAGTCGATGATCTCCTGGCCTACACCGCAAGAGACATACCAGGTTATCTGCAAGCTTTTGCAGACGATCTGCTCTCTCTAGCGGAGGGGAATGATTTAGACATCATCTGGAACAGAACACGCAAAACCATCAACACAATAGAAAAATGGTGCCAAACCAAAGATCTATCCATAAGCGCACTCAAAACACAAATAGTCATGTTTACCTGGAATAAGAAATGGACACTAAGACCTGTGGTGGTGGGTAACACCACTATAGGTCTATCCAAATCTGCCAAATTCCTAGGAGTGACCCTCGACAGCAAGCTCAATTTCAATGAACATATCACCAATACCACCAAAAAAGCTACGGCATCCCTTATGCAATGTAGAAGAGCTGTCGGCCCCACTTGGGGTATGAGCCCTAAAACATGCAAATGGATGTACACCGCTGTCATCAGACCTATTCTATCATACTGCTGTAGTATATGGATTAGAGCAACCCAAACAGACACCAACGCGAGGAAGTTCAAACGAGTTCAGGCATTGGCATTGAGAATGATGTCTGGTGCCATGCCTAGTACTCCCTTCATCGCACTGAACCACCTCACTAACACTCCAGATATCATACTTTTCCTGAGAGGTGAAGCAGCAAAGGGCACAGCCAGGCTTCAAGCCTATGGAAGCCTAACCCTCGAAACTATCGCCCCCAGAAAAGGTACCATCACAACTCACACCACTATCAACAAAAAATTCATGGTAGATCTCAACATACCACCCAAAGCAGAGAGAGACCTATCTATACCAACCATGATGCTTGAACGACGCTTCACGGTCACCACTCCTGGAGCTGACAACATTGGATATAGAGGCTCACTCCAAAACACCATCAACAACATCCCCAGTGAAACCATCACCTGCTACACAGACGGGTCACGCACAGACTCAGGTAGCGGGGCTGGTTATATTATCACCACAGACAACAACAACACTACACTAGATGAAAGATCATTCAAGCTTCCCGATTATTGCACCGTTTATCAAACAGAACTCATTGCCATCATCGAAGCTTGTAAATATCTATCAACTTATACAAACACACACATCATCATATGGTCAGACAGTCTCTCCTCTATTCAAGCCATATCCTCACCTTCAACGAGGAGTAGGACTACTAGAGACTGTTACGACACCCTCAATACACTCGGATCCACTAACACCTTAGAGATCAGATGGATAGCTGCACACATTGGATTGTGGGGTAATGAAAAAGCAGACGAGCTGGCCAAAAATGGTACAACCAGTGAATCCACTTTGAATTGCCCAATTCCACAATCTTACATCAAACGCCTGATCAACGACAAAGTCACAAAACTTAATCAAGAATCATGGATTACTGATGGTCCCAGACACACTAAACTGACACTTGGACATAAAAACATCAACATCATCAAAAATCTCAACACTACACTCAGTAACAACAGAAAAAATTATAGAACTGCAGTGCACCTCATCACGGGACATTGTGGCCTCAACAAACACCTACACACCATTCGCAAATCAGACACAAGTGCTTGTCCTAAGTGCGGCGACGAAGAGGAGACTGTCTCACACTTTCTCGGACAGTGCCCGGCTATTGCCCAAATAAGAGGTCAATATTTCCGGGACTACTACCTCTCTGTCAATGACATATTCGACAACCAACACATCTCCACCATTGTCAACTTTACAAACCACACTAAACGCTTAGCGGTGCCAGAGGAGTTGGACCAGACAGGTGTAACATAGCGACTACTTTAACGCCGTCTTGTTTCGCCTCTCTCTTCCACACTCAACCACCACTTAAGCGTTTATCTATGACACACCCCACAACACTTACCATCATCCTTGATTACACATCTTGATTCCACTGGCATCCTCCCACAGGACTGCCATACCCCAGAGGTAGGCAAAGCATTCATATGCTATCCTCTCGTGGGCCAACCAGGCCCAGCCTCTCTAAAAAAAAAAAAAAAAAAAACCTCCACCGAATTTAAAAACCACAACTTTCCGTCCTGGATCAAATTGAGCGAGATCAATTAATTTTCGTGATAACAACACAGTTTTACCAGTTCCTGCTGGTCCGTTGATCCACAGCAGCTTTTCTTTCGATTTTAAGATCCTTTCTTGTTCCGCTGTAAAATACTTAACACCTAAACATTCTCCAATATCAATATCATCAGTTGCTTTAATCACTCCTGGATTTATGCTCTTTTTGCACTTCGATTTTTTATCATTTTGCAGTAAAGTTATTTCTCCTTCTCTCAGCTCCTTGTCTATTCGCATCACAGTGTCTGCTAGACTGAACATAGATTCATCTGGGAAATCAACTTCAGTACAAGATATTGTTAACAAAATATGCTTTGTTTTTATCTGCCTCTCTTTACGACCAAACGATATACCACACATCAAAATGTGTGGTATGTTTGGTCGAATTTTCATTGATATGTTGACATTCCACCAATTAGCAAAGTTATCGATATCTTCTTTAAAGATAATTGAATTCATTTGCTCGCTGTCATCTATTAGCAGGGAATCAGAGCTCAAATAGGGAAAAGCCGTGTAAAGAAAAACCTTTAATTCCGGATGAAGAGCTCGAATAAGCTTCTCGACCCGATTTCTCTGAATTAACGATCCCTTGAATGCTATGGTGGGGTTCCCATCAGATGCTGGGTTCTTAACTTCAATGACTACAAAGAAGCCCTCTCCGATAATCAAAAAATCACATTCCTCAGAGTTTTTAGGCCTCTTACACTGTCCACAATGCCTCCTATCATGGTTCCTGTCACACAAAGTATACTGGTAATGTGTGAACTTAAACCCGTGAAGAACAATCAGGCGTTCTTTTAACATCTCCAATGCACGGTAGACTATCACTTCGGCTTCATAGTTCTGCTGTTTTGTTTTGTTATCTGTTATACGAGGATCTTCGTTTATCGTGTTGTCCGGATATCGATCTTTGTAGGTTTGTTGGGGAGCTGGGGGACTCATAACAGAGAGTTCCTCTTCTGTTGAACAGTAGAAAGTGGCTATTTCTTTTCCTCTTCGTTCGTAGTCCGATAGGCTAGTTACCGTTTCTGTAAAGTTATTGCTATTAAGTTGAGCGAATGTGTCAAGATCATAATTTTGAAATGGAAGAATTTGTATGCCGTTTAAGGGGAGATACACCAAAAACGTTTTTGCTCCGAACATCGATTTTATTTTATATTATGGTTAAATAGACAAAAAGAATAAGATTGCACACCTTCAAAATTTTCTAAAAATATTCCCTCATCGAGAAAAAAAATATTTTTCTTTTTCAAAAATTTTTAAAATTTGGAGAAGTCTGTCACTGTAATACCGATAGTTCGGCCATTTTAAAAGTTGTTTGGCTGATTGTTTTACTGAACATTACTTACACTCCTTACAAAACAACCCTTTAAAGGATTATATATTTGAACGATAAATGACGAAGTTACAGACCAAACAAGGTCGACAAAATAAAAATTGAAATTTTTCCCACTTCTAAGGTTGTACATTTCACCAATCACCCGGGTCAGCAGATATCGCTTCAAAAATTCTTGTGAGTGTAGCTGATGATCATATCAAACTTTTTGGAGTAGGATTTCTTTCAGATTTGAGTTTTAAGCTATGCAACGTGGCCTCAAAAATTCATCGTAAAAAAGGGCAAAAAAGGCAGATTTAAGGCTTAAAATGCCTATAACTCAAAAAGTATCAGTTTTTTTGAAATAATTTTTACAGAATCGTAATCAGCTTGGTAAGACGAATCTTTTAGTACCAAATAAGTGCTTTAAGAAGACAGATTGTCTTAAATAATTTTCTAGCTCGAACACAAGGGCCCCCCCCCCCCCCCCCCCCCCTTGTATAAATTTTGTACAAATTGTACACATTTTTTTACAAATTTTGTGTCTTTAAATATTATAAATGTCGTACTAAAAGATTCGTCTTACCAAGCTGATTACGATCCTGTAAAAATTATTTCAAAAAAACTGATACTTTTTGAGTTATAGGCATTTTAAGCCTTAAATCTGCCTTTTTTGCCCTTTTTTACGATGAATTTTACTAAGTCGTTTGAGGCCACATTGCATAGCTTAAAACTCAAATCTGAGAGAAATTCTGTTCCAAAAAGTTTGATATGATCACCAGCTACACTCACAAGAATTTTTGAAGCGATATCTGCTGACCCGGGTGATTGGTGAAATGTACAACTTTAGAAGTGGGAAAAATCCCAATTTTTCTTTTTTCACCTTGTTCGGTCTGTAACTTGGTCATTTATCGTTTAAATATATAATCCTTTAAAGGGTTGTTTTGTAAGGAGTGTAAGTAATGTTCAGTAAAAAAATCAGCCAAACAACTTTTAAAATGGCCGAACTATCGGTATTACAGTGACAGACTTCTCCTAATTTTAAAAATTTTCGAAAAAGAAAAATATATTTTTTCTCGATGAGGGAATATTTTTAAAAAATTTTGAAGGTGTGCAATCTTATTCTTTTTGTCTATTTAACCATAATATAAAATAAAATCGATGTTCGGAGCAAAAACGTTTTTGGTGTATCTCCCCTTAAATAGCTATTAAAATGACGAATAATAACTACAGAATTTTGAAATTGTTGAATTTCAAATTAAACTATTAGCACTGACGCCTAAAGTATTATCTTATTGTTACCCCAAATTGCTCCCGGTACATTTTGACCACAGTTTATCACTACCGCTTTTCTTTCTTCAACAATGTATCTTAACTCGTGGACAGCACCATGAAATTTGGTTTCCAGAATCTTCATATCACTGTCAAGCTTCCAATAACCTTGACTCTTTTTCTCTTTATTCCACTTGACCGTTTTGTCGCTGAGAAACTGAATGCAGTTACTGTTACATGTGGGTCTTGCTCCGTCATTAGTCCACTTCCAAGGACTGTCTGTTATTTCAGGAAATTTGGCCCAGGTCTCTGTTGGGTTAACTAAATGTTGAAGTATATGTTAGATGTTAAATAATTACGTGATTTTAGATAATTGGCCATTGCATTGGGGGATCAAGATATCAAGTTCAACTGATCTAGAGTAAATACGAGGTATATAATGTTTATACAATTATTGAATTAGTTTGTAAGAAGTGAAGTTGTTAAATATGGTTGAAAAAACAACTATTAAGATTAGTATGGCTGGATGCCTGAAATCTGAATGTAACAAGGATTATGTGGCAATTTAACCATGCCTTAACCGTGCCTTAACCGTGCGTAGCTACATTGCCGATTAGGTTATACTAAGATATTGGTCAGGCTAACCTGTTTGAACTGGCTCTAACAAAGAAGATGGCATCTCTTGGTCCACCATTGTAACAGCTGAAATTTTACCCTCTGTAGTTTTTATAGTTGACAATTGGGTAAAATCATTTCAATTTTATAATTTCGAAATGTGTGTAGCGCACAAGTAAATGTGCAGTGTTAGTATTTCAGGATTCTATAATCTAATATTGGTCGTTCTTACCTGTTTTATTCCACTGATAGTAGTTAGTTAGGTTATATGACCACATTTTTATGTTCGTATTCTGAAACAGTGTTTGTGAAGTAGATGGAAGTAACCCTGAAGAATCTGTTAAGCAAACTAAAATTGAAATTCAGGGCGATTTTGAGAAAACGTCCATGAAAATCTCTCTACAGTTTTTCAGCAATCACCCTGAAATTTATCTCTCTCAAAATTCTGTCTGGACAATCTCTTCTAAATGATCCTTAGAACATACCTCGAAAGTTTCTGGGCGATTTTGAGAAAATTTACAAAACTGATGAAATTTTCAAGAAATTAAACTATAAAAAAACAAGGTTCCATTCCAGTTTATCATTTCTGATTAATTACGCTTCACCCAGTTAAATGTAATAACACTTAAGAATTTAAATGAAAGATAATAAATTACTGTTCAGTACTTACACGTTAACGACCAGATAGCGAGATAAATTATCTCTGTGAAGGGGAGGTCCTGAGAAGTGAATTTAAGTTTACTTATGGGTATCTTGTCGTTAATTAAAGGCTGATTTAAAAAGGTAATTTAGCCGATATTACCTGTCCAGGGTCTTCGTTTTAAATTGGACACAATATATAAGTTAACTGAATGCACTTAGGAAAGTAAGTCCGGTTTTTAAGAGACTATAATATAAGTTATAGACTTAAGGTTTTATTCATCCATTACTAAATAATATTCTTCTTTGACTTTTATACCATTCTTACCTAAACCAATGATTTGAGTATTTTAAAGTAAACTTACGTATAAACTTACAAGTAAGCTAAATAGAAACTGGATGGTTAAAGTATACAGTTCAAAGCCACAGTGCCGGTAAGTAGTTTTACAAACAAAAGGGTACAGGTAATAAGACACAAATAAAAGGAGAGGAAACAAGAATGTTATCTTATCTGCTGTGTCACGATGTGCTAACATAGCGCCAGCTAGAAAGAAATGACGTAAAAGTGGTCATATTATATTTCATGAAGATACACTGCTCTGTGTTGAGGGATGATAACATTGCCCTAATCTACAGTTTGAGTAAATGTCTTGACAAGTTATGCCATAACCTGGTTATGGGGAGAACATTCCAGAGTCTTCCATCTCTCACTGAGAATGCGTAGTTGTAGTCAGAGCCTGCAGCAGCTTATGCTTATCTAGATTCTAGAACTTACGTTACTGAATTAAGCAGGTCCATGAGTTATTCATTTAACATTAGTATTAGTAATGATTCAGTCGCTATTGACTTGTTGTTGGAGTCAGTCAACAACTATTTTCAGAAAACAAAACTGTCAACTTATTTTTGATGGAAACACGATTAAATTTAACAGGGTCTGACAGTTCACTTATCTTTAAGTACAATAGTGACATCATCGATTTTAAAAATTACTTGTTATCGCGTAGTTACGTATTACGTATGTTATATACCATAATAATCACTTAATTTAATACGCTTCCACGAAAATAACAAGTACTCGCAGTGGAGAAACAACAGCTTAAACTAGCAAAATGCGCGTTTTGCTATAAAAACACACTTTTTTTAGAGATTTTACCAGTTTTTTCTCTAAAATTAGGATATTATAATAATTAAAGGGAGGGCGGCCCACAGGTACGTTTCGCCAATACCCACTCTAGTGTTAGTTAAAATAGTTCGACAGCGGCTGCAGCTGGTGTCTGCGTATCAATCACAAGTTCCATTCTCTACAGAAGTTAAGATGTTGATAGGAGAAGGGTATTCTGTCACTGGCAAGTAAAAACTGATCCGGGGTTAATAAATGCACCGGTTAAATTATTTTAGGGTTTTAAGGTCTCTTACTTTTAAATGGGATTTGGAGGCGAACCCGAAATTAGTTTAATATTATAAACAATAATTTGTGTACCTAGTTTAGGTTGCAAACAGCTGATATCGACTCTAACACCCTGACGGGAGCATATTATGCTTTCTTCCATTCAATTTACCAATAATTTCTTTTCTCGTATCTTCCTTCTAGTTATTTGCCTGCATAGCATTTTACGATATTGGCAAATAAGAATCTCAGAAAAATCGCGATGTAATCATCAAGAATGGCCATTCAATAGATGAGTTTTGGCTGCTGATGCCTGATAGAAAGTAAACAAACAGGATTTGCATATATAATGTACTGTGGCACTGTACGGTCACGCTCTGAAAATGCCACGTGCGCGCCAAAGACATATGTCTTTGGAGTGACTGTTTTAGCGCAACATTTGTGCGGGTGCGCGCGCCCGCTTTAATTGAGGAATTCATCTAGTCTTATTCCCGCCGCTTTTTCTGGGATATGTTGTTTCGGTTCGATAAATCAAGCTTGGAGATTAAACTAATCTTCAAGCATCTGATAATTTGAATCAGATAATGATTTCTAGTGAAAATATAATATATTTAGGGGCTGCTGAGAGTTCTAACAAATAAATGCACCAATTTAACAAATTGGAAAGTCAAAAAACAAAATATAATAGCGAAGTTTTACAATATACTGATAGTATAAACATGTTCATGAATATTGATTTAATCACAATTCTCCTGAAATCATCGAAGGCATATGAAGGGTAAATTGGTAGGCAGGCTTTTGGTAATCACCATCGAATTTACTACCTAGATCAAGTAGGACATTTTTATTGTCACCAACACCAATTTTGACTACACGTTGGTGACAGTCATACTTTCTCTAGTATTTCAGCGCAATGAAACTCAACTAATCTTCTAACAAGATAGTGTTCCGTACAAGACGAGAGTTCAAAGTTTATCAGCAGAACGTTTTTGACTGTCAAATCTAAAGAATTTAAATGGCTGTAAAATGAATGATTAATCTACAGAATTGATTTCTGATCGAAAATCATTGGCAATCTTCACATTAAGGAGATCAAAACTCCATAAACCTGAATTACAAATATTCTATTTACAATCCGTAATATTATGTTACTGATATCGTCGATCATTTAACTCATTCTTCTTCTCCTCTATAACTCCCTCAAATGTACTCTTTTCTTATTTTATGTTTACATCTTCAAATTTCACTTCCACTTCATATCTAACTTTCAGTCTGTTTCTCCCCTGATTCAATACTGCCGAAGTCCCGCCCAATTTTCAAGCACTCTTTCAAGTACTTATTTTCGTAGCGGAGTCTAGCAAGTTCTCTTTCGTTCTGCAAATCGTAATCCTCGTCCCGGCGTATCTGGGTTAGATGAGATTGAGTCAGGGAAATATTTAGATGGCAACTGGCGGGGAGGTGAGGGTACAGAATACAGATGTTGTGACGGTGATTTCATTGGTCGCTGTTACAAGGTGATAGCTTGTGATATCCGTCAAATATTTTATTTCAGGGGGTGGTTTTGAGAATTCGGACACACCCGGACAGGGGGAGGTGGGGGTGGTCTGAAAGTGGGTGGCCCCATACTTGATTAGAATATATCCAGATTTATATTTTTGTTCAATTATTTCGCTACTTGTCGTATTTTCGCTACTTGTCGTATTTTGGTTGCATGAAGTGAGATCCCCCAAATTTCGACGGCACCTGTTATGTGCCGGTAACATTTGTCCGACGTTTCAGATACCGGAATAATGACCACATCCCCCCCCCCCCCCCCCCCTGAACACCTACCCCTTCGTCAGATACTGCTATCAGGTCCCCCATCTTCTCGACATAGTGCTGTAGAATCTTTTCATTGTTGTTCGGTAATTCCTCAGATTGCTCCTTTTTTAACGTCATAAATGCTGTCATCTGAAACAATGTTTTTTTAAATTTAAAAATTGCTTTAGTTCGGCGTTCCATCTCAACTGCAGCTGCCCTATCTTAGCATAATAATTTACTTGAATAATACATACCAAGATATTAAACCTTTGACCATGTTTAATGGACTAGGCGATCCGATCTCAGGCTAGGCGCGCGCAGCGCACAAGGACCGCGCAGACTAACTGTGAGCTTGGGGGTCATTTCGATAACAAGTTGTTCTCGCGCGTTACAAAAACATTAAAATTAAGTTGGACCGAAAAAACATTGGACACTCCCGTTTCTTCTGCTTTTAGAAGGTACAATAATATATAATATAATAAGGTCACGCAGGTCGTGTTAAACATGTCAAATACTCCACTGAACTGACCTGCATCCGATATTTTGCCATGATGAACTCTAACGCTTCCTGGTGTTCGGCCAAAGCACACTTCAAATCGTTGTTTTCTATTACCAACTCTCTGATCTTTCTAAAATAGTTATCTTTACTTTAAGGTACTCAACTTTTTTTTCTTAAGAAAGTTTAGACGATTAAATGTGCAAACTTTAATGAGCATGATTAAACAATGTTTGTCATGTTTATATACTGTTCAACCTACTGTTCACTCGTCCAAAAGAGACACTAACCAAAAACCTTAAACTTTTCAAGATAGTTAATGGTTAATAGAGCTATGTTTACAGTACACTACAATTTAGATACACTGAAGGTCAAGATATCAGAGATAAGGACACTAACCTGTTTTCATAAATGGCAGTTTGACTTCGCTTCACCAGATCAGCTTTGGGTCTCTGTCCTGCCTGGCTGTTCATCTCTTCCATGTTTGCGCGGTACTAAAATAGTGGTGGAATGTGTCAGAGAGATTTGTTTTGCAATTTTTCTCTATTCGTTATTCTATACAATATGCTATAGGAATTGGTTGATATATTTAAATTGGTTCTTTATTAAATGGTTACTTTTCATTACTTTTTTACAAACTTGTACGAGCATTGCACTTTTCATTTGTGTTTTGGGCATTACACAAAAAATAGATAATAGTCTCTATCTAGGTTTCTAATTTACTTTCTTCTGAGGTGCTCGCCTATATCTTGGTTTAAAATTTACCTTTTTCATAGCTTATATCTTGGTTTAAAATTTACCTTTTTCATAGCTTATATCTTGGTTTCAAGTTTACCTTTTTCATAGCCTATTTATCTATTTTTCTAAAACTAGCATTATATAACATTTCTAAATTATCCCTACACACTTGTAAATAATTAGAATTGTGTAACTTAAATTATTTCAGAATTACAACTATTGTGTACTCAATAAAGTAATTATCACTTTTGTATCCTTGTATCCTTGTATCCTTGTATCCTAGCCTATATCTTGATTTCAAATTTACCTTTTTGATAGCCTATATCTTGGTTTCAAATTTACCTTTTTCATAGCCTATATCTTGATTTCAAATTTACCTTTTTCATAGCCTCTATTTTGGTTTCAAATTTACCTTTTTCATAGCCTATATCTTGGTTTCAAATTTACCTTTTTCATAGCATATATCGTGGATTCAAGTTTACCTTTTTCATAGCCTCTATCTTGGTTTTAAATTTACCTTTTTCATAGCCTATATCTTGGTTTCAAATTTACCTTTTTCATAGCATATATCGTGGATTCAAGTTTACCTTTTTCATAGCCTATATCTTGGTTTCAAGTTTACCTTTTTCATAGCCTCTATCTTGGTTTCAACTTTACCTTTTTCATAGCCTCTATCTTGGTTTCAAATTTACCTTTTTCATAGCCTCTATCTTGGTTTCAACTTTACCTTTTTTATAGCCTCTATCTTGGTTTCAAGTTTACCTTTTTCATAGCCTCAATCTTGGTTTCTAAACTAGAGAAACTGCGTGATATTTTCTCAGCAAACAGCTCGTTTCCTCCTATCTTCTTATCTAAACCCTGACAAGTACAAATAAATAATTATCTATTAATAAGATAACCGATCACTAATCAATTCAATTAAATAAGTTACTTGATATACAGCTTGTTTTCATATCATTGCCTCGAAAATGTCCGAACAAATCGAAATTTTGTTGTAAAAATGTTGACTTATCTTCTAATTACTTAATTAGTAAGTTAATTAATTAGTTAGTTAATTAATTTATCACATACCTGAAGATCAGTTAACATGTCACGTGCGGGTAGACTCTGTCCTCGTCTGCTTATAGTGTTAGACGACATTGTCATTCTGGTGTGAACGTTCTTATCACGTGACCTTAACTTCTTGGGTAACTTATCACATGTTTAACTACAGGTTGTAGTAGTTAGTTATCACTTGATTTACAAACATCAGTTTTAAGAAGGTTGACAGCATGATTACAAATAATAATGATGATTCCAATCATTCACTTTCGAGCTCAGTGCTTTGAAGAGGAATGTGCCATGTTTTGTAAGTAATGTATTTGTAAAAGTCGGAAAATATCAAGTTCATCAATACAATTTTAATTTATTTTAAATTAGTATTCGAAAAATGTATTTGGTATTGTTTTTATTTGTGCATATTAGCGGGATGTATTTTTATTTAACTTCATTAAATGCAAGAGAAAATACCATTGATTTACAATATATAGTATTATAACATAATACATGATTTTCAAATAAGAAACATTCATGGTCCCAGCCACAATCTTATAAAACTCTACGTTAGTTTATCAATACTGCAAGAAGGAGGGAGGATTACATAATAGACAGCACCTACAAATTCTAGTCCACCATCCAAACCCCGTTAACAAATAATATTCCTCCACGTACAAAAGGTGCTATTTTAAATGTCTCCAGAAAGTGGGTCATGATGAGCTTACATAACTGCGGTTCGTCACAAAAACGTGACTATTCTGACAGAAGCCCTCTCTTGAACTACAGGAATGCTTGGTTTGGAACGTTTGGAATGTTTGGTTTACTCGTATCCCGAAGGGTTAGCTCCGATACTCCAGTCTGTTTCAGCAGATATTGGCTCTGAGATTGAGCTGTCCGCTCCAGTGACCTGGGGTAATTGGTGTGAAATTTGTTGACAAATCCATTTTTGAGCTTCACTCCTTGTCATGCTACTACTATCCCAAACCCTGACCCTAACTATAACCCTAAAGATATCTACCCTAAAGTCTACCCTTAGTAGACTTTAGGTTAGTCCGCCTAATTTAGTAGAGGCTCTGTATTTTTTATTGACTACATATTCGATAAAAAAGCTAAACATATTTCTGCAAATAAACTCCGTCAATTATAAACAATTAATTGATATTAATTATTTCATTAGCTAGGCTGTAGTAATAACAAACATTAAACATTAACTTATCATGACGTACACACAAACAGTGAAATTAGTGATAGAATGAGAAGTCATAGAAAAGTTGTCGACGTGTTGAAAATTTGTGAAATTTCATCCCCCTAACATTAAGAAAGTGATTGGTGTTGGACTTCAATAAGCTAACATTCTTCTGATTGCAGTGTGAAAAGTAACTAGATAAAACTGCTGTTATTGTTCAAGGTACAGGACGTGTATAACTGAACTAAGACTGGGATAACAGATAATTGAATTATTTTTTACAACGTTTTTAATTATTCATAAACTCAATCGCTTTCATGTTATTTTAACCGCTGAAAATTCATCTCAACAAATCAACAAACCAGTACGATTATAAAGTGATAATGAGTCACAACTAAAATCAACATGCTGGAAAAAAATAAACTATTGAGTACAGTAACTCACCACTCCAATTTGGAATCTGTTAAGGGACCGACAATCTCGGTAGAAGAGAACCTTAAGACACCGTGCCATCAGTCTTTTACCTTCCTCAACATTCATATTAGGATTCTCTAAGGGGGAAGTGGGTAAGTTAAATAACTTAGAAACTAAGCTATCAGTCTCATACCTTTATCCACACTTATAATTCATAATTTTTGGTGTGATCCGTGAATATTTCATCTAGGCATTCGAATAATTTAATCATCATAAAAGTGTAAACAAACCTTCCATAGCTTTTCTCATCATTGGTTGAGCAATGTAGGAGCCAAAGCCTGTAGCTACACTTTTATCTGTAAATGAGACACCGATCTTATCCACGTATCCCAGGTAGGGCTTACCTGAAATATTAATTGTGTGGATCCTGGTTTATGTTTCTCTCTGTGTAAAACAAATCATGTTTAAAATGTTTGGTGAAACTTTGCTGTTAAAATTGTAAACAATTTTTTATATAATAATTCATTAATTTAAGTGGTTTAGTAGTTGATAAGTGAAAAGAAACTAAATGAAACGTATAATAGTAAATCAAAGGTATACATCTATCAAAAAGATAAATATTTACAAGATAAGTCAACAAAAAACTTTGTATGTACAATGTACATGTGTTTTGTATCCTCAGCCGCAGAATATTATATGAGTCACATGCACACATCAATTTGTTCTTTTTATCTCTATTTGTTATCAGTACTTTGCTTATCTCTATTTGTTATCAGTACTTTGCTTATCTCTATTTGTTATCAGTACCTGAGTAATCTCTGCCAGCCACAACTATGGTGTTCCACAGAGGGTTCATCTTACTTCTTCTGTTATATAACACACAACGTAACCAGTTGTGTATAGAGGGTGCATCTCTGTATACTCCATCACCTGTTAGGTCACGTGAAAATTATTATTCTTTATTTATTTACATAATATTATTAGTAGTTATATCATATATGGTAGTTATATTAAATAGTTACTAGTTATATTATATCAATATTCTCTGTACTGTGTACACTTCTGCAGTAATTTATACTTTAAACAATAAAAATCAAAAGCTAAAGGTAGAGATTTAATTAACATTCCACAGTCCAGACTTAAAAATAGTATTTAGCCTCCACAAGATAAAACTTTGAAAGTCACCTACCGACAACATCATCATCAATAGTCTGCTGTTCCAGTAACTTCATTATGAACTGAAAGTCTGCATAGTCTCCAAATCCACCAATAATGGTACTATCATTCACTTTCATCAACCTGATAAAAAAGCATTTTTAAATAAAACAATTACAACCAATAATCATTTAATTTCAATTGAACACTTCTCGTTGGGTTGACATTGCATTGAACGTATAAAGAAGATGCACCATAACAAAATACCAATATAATCTTTTCTGGTTTGTGTTTGTAACCTGCTAATATCCCTAAAACGGGCAAGAGAACCATAGGACCCGAGAGTGTCAGCTGCAATCACCACACCATCAGTACACATTATACCCAGCACGGATGTACCTGAAAAGAGCTAAAATAACTAACCTTTATAACTAACCTTTATAACTAACCTTTATAACTAACTTTATAACTAACCTTCATAACTAACTTTATAAATAACCTTTATAACTAGCCTTTATAACTAACCTTTATAACTAACCTTTATAACGAACTTTTATAACTAACCTTTATAACTAACCTTCATAACTAACCTTTATAACTAACCTTTACAACTAACCTTTATAACTAACCTTTATAACTAGCCTTTTTAACTAACTTTATAACTAACCTTTATTACTAACCTTTATTACTAACCTTTATAACTAACCTTTATAACTAACCTTTATTACTAACCTTTATAACTAACCTTTATAACAATCTTTTTTAACTAACCTTTATAACTAACCTTTATAACTAACCTTTATAACTAACCTTTATAACAAACCTTCATAACTAACCTTTTTAACTAACCTTCATAACTAACCTTTATAACTAACCTTTATAACTAACCTTTATAACTAACCTTTATAACTAACCTTTATAACTAACCTTTATAACTAACTTTATAACTAACCTTCATAACTAACTTTATAAATAACCTTTATAACTAGCCTTTATAACTAACCTTTATAACTAACCTTTATAACGAACTTTTATAACTAACCTTTATAACTAACCTTCATAACTAACCTTTATAACTAACCTTTACAACTAACCTTTATAACTAACCTTTATAACTAGCCTTTTTAACTAACTTTATAACTAACCTTTATTACTAACCTTTATTACTAACCTTTATAACTAACCTTTATAACTAACCTTTATTACTAACCTTTATAACTAACCTTTATAACAATCTTTTTTAACTAACCTTTATAACTAACCTTTATAACTAACCTTTATAACTAACCTTTATAACAAACCTTCATAACTAACCTTTTTAACTAACCTTCATAACTAACCTTTATAACTAACCTTTATAACTAACCTTTATAACTAACCTTTATAACTAACCTTTATAACTAACCTTTATAACTAACTTTATAACTAACCTTCATAACTAACTTTATAAATAACCTTTATAACTAGCCTTTATAACTAACCTTTATAACTAACCTTTATAACGAACTTTTATAACTAACCTTTATAACTAACCTTCATAACTAACCTTTATAACTAACCTTTACAACTAACCTTTATAACTAACCTTTATAACTAGCCTTTTTAACTAACTTTATAACTAACCTTTATTACTAACCTTTATTACTAACCTTTATAACTAACCTTTATAACTAACCTTTATTACTAACCTTTATAACTAACCTTTATAACAATCTTTTTTAACTAACCTTTATAACTAACCTTTATAACTAACCTTTATAACTAACCTTTATAACAAACCTTCATAACTAACCTTTTTAACTAACCTTCATAACTAACCTTTATAACTAACCTTTATAACTAACCTTTATAACTAACCTTTATAACTAACCTTTATAACTAACCTTTATTACTAACCTTTATAACTAACCTTTATAACAATCTTTTTTAACTAACCTTTATAACTAACCTTTATAACTAACCTTTATAACTAGCCTTATAACTAACTTCATAACTAACCTTTATAACTAACCTTTATAACTAACTTTATAACTAACCTTTATGACTAACCTTTTTAACTAACCTTCATAACTAACCTTTATAACTAACCTTTATAACTAACCTTTATAACTAACCTTTATAACTAACCTTTATAACTAACCTTTATAACTAACCTTTATAACTAACCTTTATAACTAACCTTTATAACTAACCTTCATAACTAACCTTTATAACTAACCTTTATAACTAACCTTTATAACTAACCTTTATAACTAGCCTTTATAACTAACTTTATAACTAACCTTTATTACTAGCCTTTATAACTAACTTTATAACTAACCTTTATAACTAACTTTTTAACTAACCTTTATAACTAACCTTTTTAACTAACCTTTATAACTAACCTTTATAACTAACCTTTATAACTAGCTATAGCCTTATAACTAACCTTTATAACTAACCTTTATAACTAACCTTTATAACTAACCTTTATAACTAACCTTTATAACTAACCTTTATAACTAACCTTTATAACTAGCCTTATAACTAACCTTTATAACTAGCCTTATAACTAACTTTATAACTAACCTTTATGACTAACCTTTATAGCTAACTTTTTAACTAACCTTTATAACTAACCTTTATAACTGACCTTTATAACTAGCCTTATAACTAACTTTATAACTAACCTTTATAACTTACCTTTATAACTAACCTTTATAACTACCTTTATAACTAACTTTATAACTAACCTTTATAACTAACCTTTTTAACTAACCTTTATAACTAACCTTTATAACTAACCTTTATAACTAGCTATAGCCTTATAACTAACTTCATAACTAACCTTTATAACTAACCTTTTTAACTAACCTTTATAACTAACCTTTATAACTAACCTTTATAACTAGCTATAGCCTTATAACTAACTTCATAACTAACCTTTATAACTAACCTTTATAACTAACCTTTATAACTAACCTTTTTAACTAACCTTTATAACTAACCTTTATAACTAACCTTTATAACTAGCCTTATAACTAACTTTATAACTAACCTTTATAACTAGCCTTATAACTAACTTTATAACTAACCTTTATAACTAACCTTTATAACTAACCTTTATAACTAACCTTTTTAACTAACCTTTATAACTAACCTTTATAACTAACCTTTATAACTAGCCTTATAACTAACTTTATAACTAACCTTTATAACTAGCCTTATAACTAACTTTATAACTAACCTTTATAACTAACCTTTATAACTAACTTTTTAACTAACCTTTATAACTAACCTTTATAACTGACCCAACTGACCTTTATAACTGACCTTTATAACTAGCCTTATAACTAACTTTATAACTAACCTTTATAACTTACCTTTATAACTAACCTTTATAACTACCTTTATAACTAACTTTATAACTAACCTTTATAACTAACCTTTATAACTAGCCTTATAACTAACCTTATAACTGACTTTAAACCTAATAACTAACTAAACATATATTGAAATTTCAATCATTGTTTACTATCTCAAGTTGGGTACTGTATAAAGTACCTGTTACAATAGGTTGCAAAGTATGTTTCCTAGGTCCTGAGAGAGCTGCTTCTTCCTGCCAAAATTCTGCCACCTTCTCTTTCATGTCCACCATTCTTGGCAGATGCATGTGTGTTGAGTACATTCCCGCCATATCTGTAGATTATATGTCAGTTTTAGCTCTATTGAATTTGAGTGGGTTTATCATAGTTTAGACAAAGAAAAATTAGCTTCTCCACAAAATTACCCTATTCACTGTACAGCATACACTTTTGATAAATCAGGTTTACAGTAAATTTGGGCTTCACTGTATTTGGGGGGGGGGGCGGGGGGGGCCAACAGTGGCGTAACGAAGGGCCCTGCTGACCCCGCTGTGCAGGGGGGCGCCGTCTTATGGGGGCGCCAAATCTTCGTTTGAATGTGGGACAATTTCGAAAACTTAGAATTAGAATTAGAATTAGAATTAGAATCAAATTTACACAGCAATACAATAAGAATAAAAATAATTTAAGAAGCTTCAATCTGCTGTGCAGGACATTCAAGTCAGTCGAAAACTGTTAGCAGAACACCCTTCTAGGGACATAAGGATATAGTATGTAAACATAATGAGTAATAAAATAATGAGTGATAAAATAAGATATGATTTAACAGTGAACTGTGGGCATGAAGGTAACAATTAAGATTACATAGATGCCCACTTTGGGATTACGTTAGTAATGTTATTTACAGTTATATACAGAGAAGTATAGAACAATAATAGATTGGCAATGATAAAAAATGGGAACGAATAAAGGAGATGTTTAAAGTTCTATACTTCTGGAAATACCTAGGTCATATATAACGCAGGGGGCCTTTCCACCCGACAAAAACTCCAGCCCCATAAAATTTGTTTCAGTTGTCACATAGCTAGAGTGTAGAAATAGTCGAAACTATTGTTTATTTCATAGGATGAGACTCCTTGAATTACATCTGACATAAATTTAGATTTCATACATTGTGAGAATTTTACACTACATTCTATAGTCCTTATGTTCTCTGGAATTGTATTCCAACATTTGGCACCTAAATATGTAAAGGTTTTGTGTGTTCTGGATTTGTGAATATAAAGGTTGCACCTCTCAGCATCACGTGATCCTCCGGATACATAAGAAAATTTATCTGTGAATGATGATGGTGCAGCCTCATTAAGAATTTTATACATATACGATGACAGATGGAGTTGTCTTCTTAAGTGTAAGGGTAACCACTTCATATTTCGATATACATTTACTGATGGTTCCTGCCAATGAACATCCAGAGCAATTTTTGCTACTTTCTTGTATAATATATCAAGAGAATTAAGTTTGGTTTTGGCAGCCCTGCACCATATTATATCCAGGTAGTCAAATTGGGGGAGCATAAGAGCATTTACAAACATTTTTCTATATTTCAGTGGAAGAAGATTTTTCGACCTGTATAATGCCCCTATTCTTTTAGCAATTTTTGATTTCACATAATCAATATGGTCATGAAAGTTCAATAAATTGTCTATCATGAGACCTAAATATTTTTGAGATTTGGTTTCTTCTATAAATAGGCATTCTTTTTCCAAATCCAGAGGGATTGACAACGTGTCCAGATTAGGTGATCTATCAAATACAATGAATGAAGATTTTGCAGCATTTAGTCTCAGCTTGTTGATTCTAAGCCATTCATACACAATTTTCATATCCTTAATTACATTCTCATATATGCCTCGGGAAATGTTATCAAAATATAGTGCACTGTCATCTGCAAATAAGTAAACAGTAGATTGTGTGCAATTTCTACTGAGATCATTGATGAATAAACTAAATAGAATTGGTCCTAATATGCTACCCTGTGGCACACCTGTTTTAACAGGGAGTGATGTGCTTACATTACCACGTATTTTGGTGTGTTGCTTTCTGTCCCCCAGGTAGCTTTTGAACCACTTTATGACAAAGCCATCAACTCCATAATACTTAAGTTTTTTTAATAAAATATTATGGCTTACTGTGTCAAAGGCCTTTTTGATATCTAAGAATACAATTGCAGGTTTCTTCTGTGATTCCTTAGACGTAAATATTTTATCAAATAGATTAAGCATTAGAAAAGTGGTGGAATGATCTTTTCTAAAACCATACTGATGGTTGGTAAGCAGTTTATTTGTTTCAACATACTCTGTAAGCTGTTGGTTAACAAAATATTCTATGCATTTTCCAATTAGGGGGAGTATGGATATTGGCCGGTAGTTATTTGGATCATTAGGGTCACCAGTTTTAAGAATTGGAGTGACTGATGCAATTTTACATGCCAACGGCATTGTTCCACTTTTCATACTAAGGTTTATAATATGAGCTACTGGATCGATGATTTGGGGAATAATATACTTATATATTTTAATGGGCATGATATCGTTAATCGATTTATCTGATGGTATACTGAGTATATATTCTTTTACTTGTTCAACAGTCACCTCTTCGAATACAGAGAGTTTACACTCTGTTGGAGGCGGCATATATTCTAGGAAGTCGTCTGAATCCTTTTCCTTAATCGATTCTTGTATTATTGTACCAACTGTGGCAAAATGCAGGTTAACTCCGTTAACATTTAAGTTGCTTGGGGAAGAGCTACTTATTTTTCCAGGTAAGTTTGAAGCATGTTTGATAGTTTTCCAAATGCCTTTTAAATCGTTTTTTGCACTTTTCACAGTAAGGTCCTGAACAATATTTGTACGTCTGTTTTCTTTGGATAATTTTGTCACATAGTTTCTTTGGGGACGATAGTTATCCCACGAAGTAGAGCATTTCTTATGTAGTTCACTTTTTCTGCATTTACATATTCCATTAATACAATTACACTTGAATTTGTTTAATTGTCCTAAACACTTTTTATACTTTCTGAAAAGCATCTTCTTCTTCCGTATTTCTGCCAACAGTTCTTTAGAGGGATTACAGAGAAAGTTACTATTACATTTTATCTGTTTAGGTGGACAGTAATTATCATACGATTCCTGGATGTGATGATTAAGTCCATCTAGGGCATGGTCTACATTAGTACAGCTTAGAATATTACTGTAGTTGCTGCAGGATCCCAGAAAATAGCTTAAGGCTTTCAGATTGTTTAAGGAGTGGTCTCTGATAAGAACCTTCTGGAATTTACTAGCTTTACTTACTTTAAAGTCGAGAACACATTTGAGAGCTTGGTGATCTCCTATTCTATCATCAAGTACTTTACACTCTATGAAATTAGAGTAACAGTTAGTCATGACAACATCTATTGTGCTCTGCGTTATCCTACCATCTAAGTTTGCAACTCTAGTAATTCCTGTAACAGTCTGTATCATTCCAAAGAGCTTCATTGTTATATCTAACTTTTTATAATCTAGATCAGATAAAGAGTTTTGGTTAACATTAACATCGCCAATCCATATTACTTTCTTACCTTGAAGTTTCATCATACATTCAGTCATATAATCAAGGAAAGTATCTAGGTGACAAAAGTTTTGTGATCTGTAGAAGCAGCAAATGTAAAGATTGGCATCTTTGAGTTGTATCCATATAGCTTCGATTTTAGAAATATCAGAGTAAGTTATATCTAAATTGAGTAATTTGTGGTTTACATTTTGGTTGATCAATATACCACACCCTCCTCTTCCTCTATCGTTAGGTCTATCACACCTTATAAAATCAAAGTTTAAGGGGAAGTTAAGTGTACTAGTGTCTATATCAGATTTAAGGTTTGTCTCATTAATTCCAATTATGTCAAGCTTTTCGCGAAATATTAGCTCCTGTAGTTCAAGAGTTTTTGCCAGATTAGTCAGGCCACCCTGTATATTACATAGACCAAGAGAGAGATTATCGTTTATTGAGGTACGAATGTGGTAATAATAAAGTTAAAAGGAGGACAAATCTATACGTTTCTTCTTCAAGCAATTTAAATAAAATTCATGACATTTAGTTTTATGTCATGCTGATTTATTTGTGACTTAATAATTTAAAATGTGATTCTTTGATAAAAGTATCAAATACTCATTAAACTACAGAACTTTCTACAATCTGAATGGAGAGACTAAGTTTGCTCATTGTGGGATAAATATTTTAAATGTTTCGCCAACCTGGCGATTCCCTTGATATTAAGGTGAACATTATCTATTCCCTTTTTGAAAAATACCTGTTTCCTTACTCCAGTAACTCGGCTGGTAAATAGTCTATTATTACGTTCTAAATCTATATAATTTAACCCATGGCTAGAGCAGGTGTTAGAAATAAACCTATTTAATTCGTTGATAACTTCATTTTTGTTATAACTGTTCCTAGGTAAAATATTTATAACTGAAATTCTTGCTCCAATAAACATTCCCCAAAGTATACTAAGTATTTGATCAATTCCTTCTGTTGCATTTTTCATAGAAATATAATTGTTACAGACAGAATCTACGTAGTTTGTACCTGTTAGTATGAAAACACGCTTTACATCCTTTTTGTCCAGTTTTTTGAACTCCTCATCATGTAACAGCCTATTTAACATTTGAGCAGAGTTCGCTCCAGGGTAGAAGAACACCTTAGCTTTCTGCTTCCTCGAACTTAGTAGAGTTCCGTTGAGGTCCCTGAACATACTGCTGCTGATGTAGATGGTATCAATTGGCAGGTCACTTGGGATCTGTTCAGGTGAAGGAGGCGCTGCAATTGACTTGGCTGAACTCTTAACTCTGGAATGGTGGACTTCAAATTCACTTTCGTTGTAGGGTACATATCCACTAGCTGAAGAAGGTGATTTTCTTGGTTGACTGCAGACAACTGGTTTGATAAGTCTAAAAGTTAAACTGATCCTTTTGTCTGTGCATAGTGGATCGGGACATAGTTCATGGTTGAATTGATGTTGGGACTTTTTGGACATAAGACATACATCTCCATGTTCTAAAATTAGGGAAGTCACCACTTGTCCTGTTTTGATTTCAGTTAACTGCATCATCCTGGAAGCACCAAGGGACACTGTTACAATGTACGAATTTTCTTCAATAAATTCTTCATTGTCACTATGAGCAGGCATATGTTCCTCTCCAGATTCATAGAGATTGACCAGAACACTGTTGTAGTTGTATTCTGGGAATAGCTCATCTAGAAAGGAACATATACTTGCCATGTAAGATCCCTGGGGGATCTTCTTTGGGTCATGCATTCCTCCACTGTACACGTAAGGATGTTTCCCAAAGTAGACTGATTTCCTGTTATGGAAGTGGTGGCTGAACTTTAATTCCTCAAATAAGATTTCAACAGAAAATTTGCTGAATGGTGCCTGTTCAATAAGTTCAACAGGTGTGATGGCGATATCAGGGATTTCATAGTCTGTAGTAAGGTCTGAACTTGACACAGGTGTTAAATCTAATCCTGCATAATATTCACCACTTCTTGGAATAACTGAGCCAGTGTCTGTAATCTCGCTGGTTGAAATGTCTATGTTGTTAGAAATAATTGATAGAGGTGCTTCTACATAGCCATCATCATCAATCAACAAAAATGATTCTGGTACCTCACATTCATTGTCATACTGAATGTTATTGTTGCTGGAGTCCGTTTGCACTGATACATCGAAACACTTGTATTGAGCAATTGATTGGTTTCCACTTTGAGGCGAAATAGTTTCATTAATCTCTGCTATTGTTTGTGAGGTTTGAACAATCTCCTCTAAAATGAACACTTTACGCTCCAGAAACTTCACGCGAGTTTCAAGATCTGAACAGTTTGTACATTTTGTATCACATTCCATCAATAATTTGCCGAAAAATGTTTCCAATGAATCGTTCATGATGTTGAGTTGGTTGAGTTGGTTGTAGATAAATAGATTGATTGAAGTCGATTGAAGTTGATTGAAGTTGATTGAATAGATTTGATACCTCCAATTACATTACATTTTTGTCATGTTGGTCATTTTGGTCATACCTCAATAAATGTAATATATTTGTAGTGTTGTAATTAGTTTAAAACTTAACTAAAGTACTAGCAAAAATGCGCGTTTTACTCTAGATACACACTTTTTTAGAGATTTTACCGGCGTATCCTCTAAAATCACCTAATTTGTTCAATTTTAGGGAGGGGCACCAAAAGGGGAGGGGGCGCCAACAGGGGGGCGCCTTTTCGGCAGGGGGGCGCCAACAGGCAACGTTACGCCACTGGGGGCCAACCTCATAAATATTCATAAATACCTATACCTATTTTGAAATCAGAGGGAATGATAGGTATTTACGAGGTTGGCACCCCCCCCCCCCCCCCCCTCATTTTGTTTACTGACTTCAAGTTCCCAGCTCCTTTATTTGCTGTGATTAAAAAGTCGAAACAGTAGTGATTTTCAGCATTAACTCTAAAATGTTATGAATATGTTTCAATGAATTGCTGTTTAAAATTTGACTTTGTTTATTATTAAATGCTGATATTGAAGATTTAGATTTAATCTGACCTTGTTTCACAAAATAGTCAATGGTGTATGCACACAAGAGCTTCCTAATTACTTACAACTATACAAAGGAAGCACACGCTTAAGATCATGTCACCATGACAGCCTAAGTTATGTAACGACTCTTGTTCAAACACAGTGTAATAGCAGTCTCCTTAAGAAATCATTCTTTTATCGGACACATCTGCTCTGGAATAAACTTCCTCTCGAAATAAGAGACCATAGCTGTCCTGATATCTTCAAGGCCAAACTTAAGGATCACCTATGGTCGGAAATGCTACCCACAGATCCAAACGATAGTCACGCTGAATTCTACCTGTCTGATAATGATTAGATGCATCTCATTTCTCCCAATGCCAATTCTCTAATCTAAAATAACCGATCCAAATTATTTAAGGGGTTAGGGGTGGGTTGGGTTGTGGGTTGGGTTTTTAAAAGTATTGTATGATATAATCTATTTCATTAAAAAGTTAACAAATTATTAACATTATGATATTTTATGCACGCTGTATTTTATTATTGCACAATCATCTCTATTACTATATATCTTACATTTATATGTGTTGATTGTATGAAATGTTTTGTCAGGGACCATATTTTGTAGGTGTAATTTTTGCACGAACTACGTTCTGGTTTCCCGTCATTATAGTACATAGAAATCACTTTTTGACCGTGTTATTTTCATGCAATTACATTGATGTATGTACTATTTTGAAAAGATTTTCAATAAAAAAAAATATTGAGCCCTTTGGCTAGAGAATACTTTCTTAGATATTTTGGACAGTTTTTAATATTGGTAATGTTAATGAATTGTAATTGATTGATATGTAATATTTAGGCCCGTGGCCATTTTTCAAATTATCAAATGCTGATTGGCTTCCTGATCAGGTGGTCTCAGAAGGTAGTCGATAAACTACTCAGCTGCTGTCAAATCAAAATGCCAGCTGCAGACATTGACAGAGTTATTCGCATCATCACTGATCACTATGCAGAGAGATTTTACCGGCTATCATCTAATTTGTTCAATTTTAGGGCGGGGCGCCAAAGGGGGTATGGGCGCCAACAGGGGGTGTGCTAAATCACTCTACACTCAAACTTTGAGATTTTTATAAAAGGTGAAACAGTTGAAACCAACCCTGCTGGGGTCAATAAAGCAGTCAAGCATCATGTATGTTATGTCGAGCATTCTATGGTAAAGGAAACTTTTAAAAATTAAATAAATACCCCAACTTATTTGAAATTTGCCCTTGGCCTTCTGGCTCTAAGTTCAAATCTAGACTATCTATATCCAAAAAGTTCTATCTCACCCCTCTTATCCCTTTGGAGAGAAATCATTGCTGATCTAAGAATTTCAAATCAAAAACTTTTAAGTAAAATACAATACAAAGTCTCCAAAAGAAATCCAATTAACAATCCTTGGATGACAGATGGAATTTCAGAAGCTATTTCAACTAAAGAGGAGCTGTATGATGACTGGATAGCCTCGAAAAAGTCAAAAGAATTTAGTCCAGATGGAAATATTGATCTTCACACAAAATTTGCAAACTATCGTCGATGTCTTAAAGGTGTAATAAAAAGTCAAAAAAAGAAATATTACTGTACTAAGATTATGGATCATCAAGGAAACAGTAAAAAGACTTGGGAAGTTATCAATGAATTAAGAGGAAAATGCAAAAAAACCATAAAGCCTCAATTCTGTGTCGACGGAGTACGCATCACAGAACGTAGACTCATAGCCAACAAATTTAATGAGTACTTTGCCTCCATAGCGTCGAAATTGAATGAACAAGTTGATGGGGAAATGAAAATTGAGCCACTTCCTTCATTTGTTGAATTTTTACCAAAAACTAACCCAAATTCGATGTACTTAACAGACTGCACTGAGAGTGAAATATCTCATATCATTTCTGAGCTCCAAAATGGCAAAGCTAGTGATTTCCCCATCAGTGTTATTAAAAAGGCTTCACACATTCTCAGCCCAGTGCTTTCCATACAATACAACAACCTTATGTCAACAGGATGCTTTCCCGCCATCCTTAAGGTAGGTAAAATTAGCCCCATCTACAAAAAAGATAACGAAGAACACTTACAAAATTATCGTCCAATTTCCACTCTCCCAATTTTTGGTAAAATTTTTGAAAAGGTTATCTACTCATGGCTTTATGGTTTTCTCTCGAGTCAGGGAATACTGCACGATAGCCAGTTTGGGTTCCGAAAGGGTCACTCAACATCACATGCACTCAACTACTCAATTCACCACATTCAGCAGTCACTCAAAGCCGGTAATCATGTTTTAGGAATCTTTATCGACCTAAGTAAAGCATTTGATACAATAGATCACTCAATACTTCTCAAAAAATTAAACACATACGGGATCAGAGGACGGGCACACAAACTCCTGGAAAGTTATCTTTCCGACCGTAAACAATATGTTGGTGTGCTTAATGAAATATCTGATACTCTACCCGTGCTCTTTGGAGTGCCACAGGGGAGCTGTTTAGGGCCCCTTCTGTTCTTAATATACATAAACGATCTTACAAACTCTGAAAAAAACTCTAAATTTGTTCTATTTGCTGATGACACAAATATCTTCGTCGCTGCAAAAAGTAAAAACCTAGCATACAAAAAAGCCAATGAAGTCCTAAGTTCTGTACACCGCTACATGCTTGCCAATAAACTTCACATAAACACTGGCAAGAGCTGTTACCTTGAATTCTCAAACTCTCGATCCAACAAAGATGAAGATACCCCCTCTGATCAAGAAATAAATATCAATGGCATACCTTTGGAGAGAGTACATGAAACTAAATTCTTAGGCGTAACAATCGATGAAGACCTAAACTGGAATGCACATAGAGGTAAATTAGCAAAAAAAACTAGCCAGCTGCTGTGGCATGCTAAATAGAATTAAAGATAACATTCCCACATCACTCCACAAAGATCTGTATCACACTCTGTTTGAAAGCTATCTTGCTTATGGTATAACAGTCTGGGGAGGAGCATCTAACAAAAAACTCGAACCTCTGTTCAAAGCACAGAAAATGTGTGCCCGCATAATGTTTGGTGATAAAGAAGCATACTTGGATAAGTTCAAAACTAGTGCGCGATGCAGACCCTACGGGGAGCAAATCCTGGGCAACGAATTCTACAGAAAAGAGCATACTAAACCCCTCTTCAACACTCATGAAATCATGAATGTGCATAATCTGTACTTCTACCACTGCATTAATGACATCTTCAAGGTCTTGAAATATAGAACCCCTATATCACTTTACTCCCTCTTTGAAACATCTGGCAGACTTGGCAAAGAGACACTCATTCTCACACCTAAACCATCAGACAGCTACATATATAGAGCAGGGACAATCTGGAACACAGTACGACAAAATCTCATGCTAACTACATTCACCTGTAAGCCCAATCACCTCAAATCATCCATAAAAATAACCATCGCTCACACTCAAAAGGAAGGAGAACCAAACGACTGGAACTTAGCCTTAAACAGTGTTCGACAAAATTCAAAAACTTTAAAATTGACCTTGCCTAGATTACTTAAGCTTACAAAAGCTGTAATATCTTAGCAAAATATAACTTGCAGCAGCCCCATACCTTGTCATGAACATAATATCGATACTACCTCTGTGATCACATCTTTCTCTGGGTGCAAAATGAATAGATATATATATTATATAGATTATAGGTTTATCAGTTTTATAGAAATTTGAAAGTTCTATAGAAATTTATTTAATTTATTTATATATGGATTATAAACATTTTTGTTTGTGTGTTTTGCGCTATGCATCTTTATACCTATTTTAGAAGAGATTTTTATAGAATATTAGAAGTGTAGTAGGGTCAGTTTCAGACGAATTAAGCATAAATATCATCATTGCCATGTCTGAAGTGGTTTGTAAATGGGCCATTGTTAGCCCCAAGCGTTTTGGTCCTTCATTCCTGCCACTCAGCATTGCCTACTGTAAAGTAGAAATTTTTCTAAGACAATAGAGAAACTGACCCTGTCTCACTAAATTCCCCTAAATTCAACCACTTACCATAATAAAAATGCTAACAACCAAATAAAGTTTTTTAAATAAAGAATATTTCCTCAAGTTTACGTCTAGCTAACTAATTAGTGGTTTAAGCTCTTATTCTATTTATGATTAAAGGAATGTAAAATAAAACTTTTCGTTTTCATTGAATTTTAAGTAAAATACAATTTTTATTTTCCACAGAAGAATCAATACATATTGAATTATAAATATCCGATAATTCCATTAATAATCATTAAAAGTTGCTTTGTCATTTGTAAAATCAAAAACGAAAAGCCCCACGCTGAACGCGCGCGGCATTTTTTCTGCAGCTGCCTAGCTTCAAGCTTGTAGCTGCTAACATCAAAGCCGCCGCGCGCGCCCAGCGCTGGGGTGCATTCTCATTAACAATTAAACTTGGTCAAAGATATTTATATACAATTCCTAAATTAAATCAATAATCATGTTAATATGAGTATTCAACACTACTCGACAACAAATATTTGC